GGCTCCAGTTGCCCCAAATTTCTTTCCATTAACTGGTGAAAGATAGAAGCAGCACACACTGTTCCTTAGGCTCAGTTACCTTCCTAACCCTGTGTGTCTCTTGTGGCATCCAGGGGGAGAATTTAGCACCTGGCAAAGGCTCTGCAGCCTCTAATGTGCCTGCTCTTGCTCTCAGAGACCATCATCGGTGTTGACAAGTTTGATCTCTGTTCATAGAATCACAGAATGTTTTCTGTTGGAATGGACCCTAAAGATCATCCAGTTCCACCCCCTGACATAGGCAGGGACACCTCCCACCAGACCAGGCTGCCCAAAGCCCCATCCAGCCTGGCCTTGAACACCTCCAGGGATGGGGCATCCACAGCTTCTCTGGGCAGCCTGTGCCAGGGCCTCACCAACCTCTGAAAGAAGAATTTCTTCCTTATATCTAATCTACATCTTATATATACATACGCTATATAGATATACAATATAATACATGTATTATACACACACATATATAATATCTAATCTAATCCTACCCTCTTTTAGTTTAAAGCCATTACCCCTTGCCCTACCCCTACACTCCCTGACACAGAGTCTCTCCCTAGCTTTCCCACAGGCCCCCTTTAGGTACTGGAAGGCTGCTGCTGTAAGGTCTCCCCGAAGCCTTCTCTTCTCCAGGATGAACAACCCCATCTCCCTCAGCCTATCTTCATAGGAGAGGTCCTACAGCCTTCTAATCATCTTCATGGCCCTCCTCTGGATTCATTCTCATACGTCCCTGTCCTTCCTGTGCTGGGAGCCCCAGAGCTGGACACAGGGCTCCAGGTGGGATCTCACGAGAGCAGAGCAGAGGGGGAGAGCATGGCCCTTGCCCTGATGGCCATGCTGCTTTTGATGCAGCCCAGGATATGGCTGGCTTTCTGGGCTGCAAATATTTTTGCAGTTGCTGAAGCCAAGGCCATGTGGGAATTATAACACCGGGAATCTTGAGATGGAGAGCACATATTTAAGGAAGTGAATAATTATTTCGTGAAAACGCTAAATTGCACTTACTAATAAATCCTGAATGAGATCTCATCGTTGTTTTTTGATTGTTTGTTTTTGTTTTGTTTTCTGTCACAAGTACCTCTAATTTCTTCAGGCTAACACATCCAAGATAACACAGCACCATCAAAACAAGAAATTGCTGTTCTTCCCACAAACCTGCCATTAGCTCCAGTTGTTCTTTTCCTGATTCAAGAAACTTCAAATGGATTCTACTTTGCTTTCTACACGTCAGAAGGAAAATATGAGCACATTTCATTAGAGTATCTGTATTACTGCTAGTAATTCAACATGAATATATTTGATATTTCTCTTCACAGAGTACATTTGTTTTCCATTTTTTTTTAAGTCTGTCTTTTGGCTTGAATTCTGAATAGATTTGCAACAGGAATCATGAGGGAAAAAAGAAGAAAAACTAAAAGAAAAAAACAAACAGAACTTTAAATCAACTGTTGATAAGAAAGAAAGAAAGAAAGAAAGAAAGAAAGAAAGAAAGAAAGAAAGAAAGACAGAAAGAAAGAAAGAAAGAAAGAAAGACAGAAAGACAGAAAGACAGAAAGACAGAAAGAAAGAAAGAAAGAAAGAAAGAAAGAAAGAAAGAAAGAAAGAAAGAAAGAAAGAAAGAAAGAAAGAAAGAAAAAGAAAGAAAGAAAGAAATCACTGTTATTTCAAGGGCAGAGGCGTGTCTGAATTGTGCTGGAATAGGTATCAGCTGATTCTACCAAATGGCCATCAAGGTCAAGGACCATCTTAAAAATCAAAGCAAGGACTTTTTCTAGGCATGAAAGAATATTACTATTTTGAAGATTAGTGCTGTGGTCAACTTATTTGCGCTTTTATGAACATTTATTTGATTTGTTTTAGAGAAAGCCACTTCAGCTGTTAAATACTGAATATCCTTTTTCCTACTTCAGGGTTCACAGAAGCATATTTCATAATTGATATTTGTATGCTTTTTATATGAGTCATCTTATTTGTACAGCTCCCTATAAATCATCTGAATGAATGACAGAAAGGACCAATTAGAGCTTTTGTGTGCTGGGGTAGAATGGCACTTATATGTTTGTGCAGTCTCATTTCAATAGTTTCAGGTTCCACAGTTTCCCTGAGGAGATTATTTGAGAGCTTACCGCAACATATTCTCATGGTAGTCAGCTTCAACATTTCCTTTTCCAATTGTATCATAATACACTTACATGCAACATAATGTATTACACATTTTCTTCTCCTGTGAAGCAAGGTAGATTCCATAAATCCTGCAATAAATTCGTCAACCCTTCCTATGCCCTTGTAAGTGGTTATTAGATGAGCTATATAACATATGTGAGCCTTGACAGCAACACCATAGTTTTGTGATTTGCACAAAAAGTAGCAATCTCACCCCAATACTACAGCCGTACTTCATTCAATCTCCTAATTAATTCACAAAAATTTGGACTATGGAATAACTAAATACTTAATCCCACTTCAGCAACCCAGTACACACACTGATAAAATACTGCTCTTTCTAAATGCATGGTTGCACAGTCTTAACCCCCTTTTCTCAGGGTCATATAATAACAACCCAGGAGCAAGTTTCATCATGCGTCTCTGAAAGGATCCAGGTAAGCTTTCCAGCTTGCTGCACAGAAAGGAGTAGTGTCATATAAGTGTGCTTTTTATTCTGTCCTGCCAGTCCCTTCACTGCCCCAGTTTACCATACGCCAAACTGGTTTGCTTGTGGAGTCCTAGCCTGCCTTTCCCATTCAAGCTGTGCCACGAGATTTCCCCTACATCAGGGTTCATGCTCATTTTTACGGATACCATTGAAGGGGACTACAGAGATGGGGACACACATTCCCAGAAACTTGAGAAAGCGAGGCTGGACATTTTAAATTATCTGTCTTAAGTTGTACTGATCACAGCAGAATTTTAAGAAAAAAAATGACATCCAAAATCCTGGTAACTCCATAACAGCTCAGGTATGTTCATATTGTACCCAAAACCACCCAGAAGATGGCTTCCATTTTTGGAATCTGACTGTAAAAAAACTAATACAACACACTCAGCAGAACTGGGGAAGCCTGATTGCATCTCATATCTCATTTTCCCTGTTTTCCTGCTCCAACACCCTCATCTCTTCTTGTCTTCCATGCCTGCTGGACTGGGAATGAGCGCATGTACCAGAGTCCTCTGACAGGCTGTGCACTGGGCAGCCAGTGGCCATCACCTTCTGCCTGCTGCCCTCACTTAATTCTTCAAGAACTCTGCTATCTGTCATTGAAACTAGCCCCTATGAACTAATCACCGGCTTAGTCATAGGAAAGAGAGCAAAGGAGAGGGCAGCCAAATTTTCCAGAACACAGCTAAAATACTTTAGAGAGCTAAGGGTTGGAAGGGATCATTGGATCATGTACTCTGGCCTTTATGTCATGGGCCATTAAGCCACATCGCCAGTCCCAAACCTGACTGCATAGCTTGCGTACGATTAAAACTGTTAAATCTGACTGATATTTCCTCAGTTCCCAGCCACTGATACTTCTTACATGTTTTTCTAGTACATAAAAAGCTTTAGCTCGTGGCACTTGTTCCATGTGAAGGTATTTAAACACTGCAGTAACTCTTAAAAGATCTGTTTGATAAATTAAATTGATGTAGCTTTCTAAATGTATTGTTGTAAGATATTTCTTCCAGCCCTCTAACATTTTTTTCAGGTCTTCTCTGCACCAGCTGATCTTTAATGTGAAAACTACACACCTTGCTCTAGCATCAGTCTCACTGATACAGAGTGGTTGACTTCTGATACACAAATCTTGTTGGTACACCCAACAACAGTACAGGCTCTCATTCCAGAAGCATATCTTATATGGTCTTATATGTCACAGATTTTATTAACAGTGAGCTTATTTCGGATCTTTGGTAAAAATCTTGAGACTCTGGACCTGCAGAACCTAGGAAACTCCACGATCATGAAGATTAACCTTTGATGCCTTTTCTGATCTTTCAAAAGTCAAAAACTATTTGCGTACCACCTAGTTAATTGATACTGTAACTATAGCATTAACTGTTAGAAGTATACATGGTATTAACCATTGGATTCAAGGACCATTTTGCAGTTCTAAGCCTAATGGTTAGGAACTGTAGAGGCAAGGCATTATTGTAGTTGCTTTTATCTGCTTACCTTTAAATCTCACTGAACAAGGCCATCAGAATTGCCTTATAAGACCTGTGAGATGATCGATACTAATGATATCTGCACGTATTTCTTTATCTAAACGGCTTATGTACCTTTTGCACTGCTTGGCCTGTGGCTGGCGTCAATTTAAGCAGCCCAGGATTGTGCCGGTCACTCGGCTAGGCTTCCTGAGACCTGGCAGAACACCAGCGCTTATTTAATAATCAAGAACTTCCTTTATATCCAAAGATTTATTAGGACCCAACCTTAGCTACTTCCTTCCAACTCCTTCATGATCCTGGGCTGCAAATTAGCGAGACTCCTGGGTTTATAAAATAAATAAAGAAAGAAAGAAGGAAGCCTAGGTTTGCTTGGAACAAAGGCCCCCCAGGAGATCTGAAAACACCTCTTCACATTTTGCAGCGTGTGGGAGACATTCCCCCAGCTCAGTGGTCTCGGGGGGAGGGGGGTTCACTTTATCCTTTTTATTATCTTTAATTCTTTCTTCAGCTGCAGTGAGCAGGGTTTCTCCTGCAGCCTGCCTGTGACCAAAACCCATGGGGAATGAGGGGGGGGGGGGGGGAACCCCTTGTGGGAAGCCTTAACATCGCCCCCCACCCCCAACTCGGGAGCCTGAACCACGGAGAGGCTCTCCCAGGACCCCCATGTGGGGTCGAACAGCACCAGGGGGCGGGTGGTCTCGGGCGGAGCCTCGCCATGAGGCGAGCGCACCCCCCCACCCCTCCACCCGGCCCCCCCGCCATCCTCCCAACCGACGCGGAAACCGGCGCCGAGCCCAGCGGCCGGAGCCGGCGCGCAGGGCGCATGCGCGTGGTCGGCGGGGAGGGCGGGGGCCGGCGCCTGCTGCTGGGGGAGCGAGCGGCCCCCGGCACCGGCACCCACACCGCCACCGGCAGCGGCACCGGCAGCGCCCTCGCCCGCTCCGCTCCGTCCCCCCTCAGGGCCGTGGCCGCCGCCCGGCCCCGCCATGAAGCTGAGCAGCCGCGGCCGGGGATGCTGCGTGGCCGGCAGCCGGGAGCGCGGGCCGCCGCCGCGGAGCCCCTTCGTGCACCAGCTGCGCCTCGGCCCCCTGCAGAAAGCCAAGGTAGGGGCACGGCCGCCCCCGGACCCTTCCCTCCATCATCATCATCCCCCCCCCAACCCTTCCCTTCCCTCCTCCATCTCACCGCCCTCCCGCCTCCATCTCCCCCCCCCCCCCCCTCCCCTCACAGCTCCGTGAGGCGGCCGCGCCCCCGCCAACCGCCGCCAACCTCCCCGGGTTTCTTTCACTCCGCTAATAAAGCCCCGGGTTTATTTTGCTCCGATATTTGTGGTGTAAATTCGTTCTTAGCTCGCCTCCTCGCCGCCTGGGTGTCGAGGAGGAGGAGGCGCACATGGCCCGGGTTACCCCGCGTTGAAGCGCGCCTCATGTCGAGCACCTGACGGGCAGGGAATTCCTAGCGGGCTTCCTAAGGGTTGTTTTTATTTTTTTATTTTTTTACCGATTTTTTTAATCCTGTGAGGCAGATCAGGGCTGAATCCGGTGGCTGCTGCTAAATTGTCTCAATGGGAGGCGAGAGAAGAAGGCTGGTGTCATCTGCCTCCTTCAATTTATACCCAGAGCCTCCCCAATAAATCGTGCAGTCGCGATGATTTCTTTTCCATGTACCTTGCTTCATTCCTCGTGTCGCTAATTACACAGAAACAATGGGGCAAAAGTCTTGCAATGGGAAGAAAAGATAGCGTGTAGTCATACGCGTTCTGATCCTATCTCAGTATAACAACAACAACGTTTTATTTGGCATTCGTAACCTCTCTCTTCAATATTCCTTCTTTCTACCTGACTATTAACAAGGGATTTTCAAAATACTGTCAGAAGGGCAGAACACCGGTTTCATAGTTTTTTTGCAGGCTCATGTAAGCTACCAGTGTGGTTCATCTTCATCCTCTTCACCAACTCAGTGGCTGGCCGTAGAGCGCACCCATCTTCCATGCGGGCTGCTCCGCGCATCTGTATCAGACGTGAGCTTTGCCAAAGGATCTCAAAGATTTGGTATTTCCAATGAGAACTGCAAGCTGTGTTGTGTTTTACAATGTGAAGACCAGAGGAATAAGCTTATCAAAGCCTGGCTTAGTTTTGCTTTCTAACTGAACCATCTTTTGTGGCACAAAATTCTTTAGCCCATCCAGTCCTGTAATCGTCTTTCTGCAGTGTTTAAGGAGGGAGCACGCAAGCTGACATAGAGAGCTATGACTGATTTTCTTCTTTGCCTTAATGATGTTCTCCTAACCTCTTTTTTAATTAAAAGAATAGTTGGATTAGAAACTCTTAAAGGAGAGCTGTGAAACTATTTGGCTTATGTGAAATGCTGCACTCCCAGAAAGGGAGGCTTCTGGGCTGGGGAGGCTCCTTTACAGTCGATTACAGCAGTGCTTTCTCTTCCATGCAGTCCTGGCCTGTCACTAAGAGTTCAGCATGAAGTATTACAGCTGAACTCACTTCCTGTTCAGCTGGAGGCACAGACTGTGTCACAGGTTTTTCTGTCAGCCCTGTGTGTCTAACAGGGGTGAGTTCTGGCTTTGCACGGCCTCATCAAGTTAGGAACTGGAGGTACGTGAAGTTGGCAAGCACAGGGGACTGGGAGATGAGGCTGCTTTGTCTGAAGGACTGTTGTTTGTTGCTGATGGTCTGTCAGATAGCTCCATTATCTTCATTGCCACCTCATGCCTCCCTCATCCTGCACTCTGCAATGGGTTAGATTAACTTTTTTTTTTTTTTTTGCTTGTTAACTGCAATTCAGAGTAAATACATCTTAAAGGATTTCAGCCTCAGACTGGAAGAAAAAAAGTAGAAAGTAAGTGGACAAAGCAACCACAGAGAGGAAGAAAAACAGAAAAAAAAAAAATCCCTTTGAGACCCAATAAACTGTTCACGTCTTTTATTGACTTGATAAAGACTGGGAGGTACCAGGGCGAAAGCAGCAAGCTGTACAGAGAACTGAGTCTCGTGCTTCCTGTAGAAGTTGCGGCTATTTGGCGCTAATCTGAGGATAACAATGGGGATCGTTCCCGAAACTACCTGTTTTATTTTTATACTCCAATAAAGAGATCCTTTCTGGAAGACAGGCAGACATGATTTCATTAACCACAAGTTTCGTTCATCATCATAACATGCTCTGGGCAGCTGTCAAGTAAGTCAGAACTTTTTCTTCCTGGTTACCTCTGCAGAGCAGGCAGAAGCTTTGCTGAGGCTGTCAAAGAGCATTTGTAGCCTTGCCTCCTGCCACTTACAAACGCGATATGGTGCTGTATTTCTTGCTTCCACTGTTTCTGGCCTGTGTATTGCACCGGTGCTGGTGTTCCTTTGGAGCTGATTTGGCTCATTAAACCAGCAGATTGTTGTGTTTTCCTCTGTTCTGATTGGTTTTTCCTTTCCTTTGCTGGGATTGCTTTTCTTCAGCTTAATGAGCTGCACTGCTCGCTGCGAGCTCGGATAAGTGCTAGAAGGGACCCGAGGGGAGAGCAACCAGGACCACCCTCCTTAGCAGCAATGATCTGTTAGGTTGGCTTAGTCACCAATGAATGGTTTTGCTCCCGTAATTATCTCCAGGAGCTTGCAGAGTGGGAAGGCAGGTGGTAAGGTGGATTGCTGCTGGATGAACTTCTTGCTCCTTCAGAGCCACCTGTGGTATTGGCGACTGGGGGCCGTAGAGGTGAGAATAGCGAAGAGGTGGAAGTGCAGGGCAAGTCGTGGTCTGTTCTGTTAAAAAGAAAAATGAGAACTTCTGCCATGTTAAATGTGCAGTTCACTGGTCTGCTTTGCTTGTTCAGTATTTGGCCATTACATTGTTGTAAGTCATGGAAACTTTGTTGCAAATGAACTGCTTATAAGGCTGATTCTGGCTGTATGGGTAATTTCAAAGGTGCATTTTTCAGCTTCCCTGCATGAGAAGTACGTTGCTGACTTTTCAGGACAAGAACTGGCACACATAAGAAGCAAAGTTACTCTGTGATTCTTGCGGTCAGTGTTTAGATATGTAGGACCTGAAGCTTTGAAGAACTTACAAAGGCCTTAAGTTCATGTTTCATACCTTCATTGTAAGTTCATGCTCAAATCAGGATGCGGCCTTTCTGGACAAGGAAAACGTGATAACCTCTTCAGTTTCAGTGCCTTGCCTTGCAGCAGATTGGAGCCTTCTGGCTGAAGGGTGGGATCCAGTTTCTCAGGCAGGCTCGTTACAAGCTCTCAGACCATCCTCTTCCTTTCTGCTGCCTGTAGGCATGCACATCATACCTCTCAGCTTCTGAAAAGCTAAGTAGGATCTCGCAGAACACACATGTAATTGAGCTGCAGTCAAAGCCCTCTTGAGAAAATTGGTCATGAGCTCCACCTCCCAAAGTACAGGTCCAGATGGACCTCCAGATGTCCATGTTGATTCCAAGCCTTCTTCAGGGGCCAAACATAGTCATCCTCTTCTTTCTGCTATTAGATCAGACTGCTTTTATTGGCGGGTCATGCACTCCCACCTGCTAAACAAGAGGCCGGTGTCACGGTGGCTGCTTGGAGCTTCTGCTTGCTGGTTCTTTCCTGCTATCTCTGGACACAGAAGCCCAAGGGGCCTTTTCTGCTCATTCGTGCTATCTTTCAAAACCTCGTGGATGCAACAGCTGCTTCTGTTCTGCTACGTGGCTCTAAAGTGGTCACGATATAACAGATTGCTGCACAGATGCAAAGGACTGCATAGCTCACCACCAGCCAGCCTCCTGCCCTGGTGCAGGAGGAGGTTTTGAGGAGCTGGGGAGAGGGTGTGAATCCCAGAGGCTGTGTCCTCACCTGCATTCTCCTTCCCTTTTTTTTCTCCACAGCTGGTCCCTTCCTTCTGGAGAGCCTAGAAAGCAGCTGCTCTCTCTTCTCCAGTTTGCAGATGAATATTCCCCTATTCTATGAGTTTTCTTGGGGCTGTTGCTTTCTCCCTCTCTGATCTCCTGACACATTTGAACCCTTTATGCTGTCTCTCACTTTTTGCTTGTCCGTGCTTCTAATCGATACTTGCACCTGTGTTCCTCATTCTCTTCTCCAGCCTCATTTGCAAATGAAGATGGTGCGTATCGTTCTTCTCATACAGCTGCCAGAGCTCATATCCCCTTGTCCTGAACTATTCCTCCCCTCTTTTTCCACAGTGTGAGTGAAGCTGTATTACACAGCTGATGTGACTCAATTGCTGCTTGCTGCCAGAAGCAGCAGTCTGTGGATGCAAAGCTGCGTGAGTTAGTGTGACTTCAGGGCTTATCTGACCATTGCCACTTTAGGAAGTTGAACCGGTTCATCTGGGAAACTATCCTATCAAAGAGGGAAGAAAAAAGTTTTCTTCTGCTGTGGCAAACAGAAGCAGTGTGCCCCGGGACTGGAGTCTTGTTCTGGGGAGTGAGACTTTGGGAATCTTCAAGAAATGATGGTGCCGGTCTGAAATGTTACTGTAAAACCTGGTGTTGCAGTGAGCTGTCTGAGGAACTGGTAGCTCTGGGTTTCTTCCTGCTCTGTTTCCTACTTCAACCCCAGATGTAAAGGTTTGTGCTGCCGGAGTGAGGTGGTTTAGTGAGCTCTTTGGGGAAGTGAGAAGAAGCGGGAGCTGGTCAATGGAAAACTGAGCTGCATGATGACACGGGCTGCATCAGGGAAGAGAAGCAGGATATGAATGATGCTTTCCACAGCACCCTGGGATGCATCAGATGAAGCATGGTGTGAGACAGCACCATATGCCTCATTTCTCATCCTTGTCTGGCCATGATGATGTTGAGAAGCACTTTTCTGCTTCATCTGGTGCACCTGTGGATGCACAGCATATTTCCTTTTGAATTCTTTATTCACAGATCCCTTTTATCATTTCATAGCATCTTGTCCGTCTTCTGCCAGCTTCCCCTGAGCAGCTAGAGCAGTGCTGGTGCAACCCCAGCCAGCATCAGACAGTTTTTGGTTCACACTCTTTCCCCTAGCCAGCCTTCTGGAGCCTTACCCCATCCACTTACTGCTGAAGAAGTAAGTGCACATCACTGGCTGTGTGTGCTGTGACAGACTCACTCCTCGACGGGGCAGTAAGATTTACAACACACCCATGCTAAATATTTACTTAATGTGAGGCTGCAGAAAGGAAAGAGAAGATGCGGATGTATTCTCAGACAAACTCTGGATCTCAAGAAGTGCAGAAAGTTGACTGTGTTAGCTTTTAAGAGCGTCACTGTTTCAGCTGTAATTCAGATCTGTAAGTTCAAAATTGTGACACACGCTACAATTGTTTGCTTGGGATTGAAACATACACGTTTGTGTTTAACATGAGGTATTTTTAATTTAAATCTGCAGTGTCTAGCAATTACTTTTTCAGTCTGAAACTGTGTTAGAATAACTCACTTGTTTTGGGTTTTACAGATTGCCTTCATGACCTTGACTCTGTTTCCCATCCGGCTCTTTTTTGCTGCTTTTATGATGTTGTTGGCCTGGCCTTTTGCGTTCATTGCTTCAATGGGAGCTGACGAGCAAGAGCTTGAAAAGCCCCTCTCCTGGTGGCGAAAGTGAGTCCCTGATGTAGAATGGTACTGAGAGAACCTGTGTTTAGTTCAGCAGTTGGAAATAGAGAAGACTGGAAATATCTCATGATAAGTCTGTCCCATGGACCTGCTTTCCTATTCAAAAGAAAAATATAAGAAAAATATTATTTACACGTTTTCCTCAGTTGGGAAACTAAAAATACCTAACAAAAAAACCTTAAAAATATTTGATTTACCAAACGACCCAAGAATTACAGGGAGAAAAACAGAAAAACATTGCTAGCATCATATCTTTACTGAGGACTCACTGAGGATGTCGTATTAAAGCTTCATTGTGCCATCCTTCAGTTTTAATTATTCCCATACAGTTATGAAGATTGACGCTTTGGAACGCGTCCAGATTTCATATTCCAAATTGTTTCCAATTTTTTCACCCCATTGTTTCCTATCCTGTGATGAATTGACAAGACTGCTGTTGATTCTCCGAGGGCTTGCCCTGTGCTTTGGCGCTCGTTAATAAATCTGTGCTTGCTCTCGTATTGGAATGCTAATTAAGGTAGAATGTAAGGTGGTGCTCACCCATCCATGAAAACTGCCGCTCGAGAAGCGAGGAAGGGGTGTAGTGTATTGCCTGTTCTGCAGAGAACATTAAAAGTATGAGCTGGCAGTAGCGTGAGGGAAGCTGATTGCATTTTGTATCGCAGGAGGGAAGGAGGCTGGGAACTGCGGAGGCATGTCGCTTTACATTTAATTTGGAGTGATACTGGTATAATGACTGAAGGAATAATGGACCGCCTTCAATTCTGCATACAGTAATTTTCAAGCCTTTCAGAAGGCCCTCTCCTATTTCGTCTACTATTTTGTCACCCAGCTCTCCAGCCTCCGATCCCCATGAGGATAACAACTTGTGGTGGTTAGGCTTTGCACCCTGTTGGTTCAAAACAAATGTTTCTCTTTTCATTGCTGCCAAGCTATAACAGCAGAGGGAAGAAAGTGAAATATTTCCAGAGCTCCCAGATACGTTCTGTTTGCAACCCCCTGATTGAGAATCTCTGCACTAAGTTACTGCAGAGGTTTGTTTGGGTAAACTTTAACCCAGGAATCAGGGTTGTTGCATTCTAACAACATCCTAATAGTGTTGTTTATTTTTGTTTTTTGGTTTTTTTTTTTTAGGGCTCAGTTTTAGAGCTTTTTTTGGTATTAATAGAAAGCATTATTAGGCATTGTATATACAAAGCTCAACAGTCATAGTCTGAATCAGAATTAATGTTAAAATAAAAGCCAATGTTACTATGATTTACAAGTATTAATATTTGGGAATGAGATGAAATTGAATGGTGTCTCACCTTAAGTGGCATTAAACCTGCTCAGAAAAGAAATCAGGAGGTCTGTGCAGTGTTCCTGTTTCAGCAGTGTATCCTGCCTATGTTTTTGTCTAGCTAATAGTTTTTATGTAATGTTTTTCTTTTTTGTTATTTGAAGGTACCCCTGTGGCAGTGTAACTGTTGTCTTGCCTCTTTTCAGGATAGTGGATGTTTTGCTAAAAGCAATCATGAGAATGATGTGGCTTGCTGGTGGATTCCACTGGATAAACGTGAAAGGCAGGCGGGCGTTGCCAGCAGAAGCAGCGATCTTAACGGTGGCTCCCCATTCTTCCTACTTCGATGCCATTCCAGTAACTATGACCTTCGCCTCCATTGTGATGAAAGCAGAAAGCAAAGATATTCCTGTTTGGGGAAGTAAGTTTTTGGTGTTTTTTTTTGTTTTGTTTTTTTAATTAAAAACCATTATTTAGGAACTTCACTGGTTGAGAAGGTCTGACGCACAAAGAAAAAAGTGCTATAATACGCGGCGAGATTATTTTTCTTGGTCTAGTTTGAATATTAACAGGAAAAGGGAGGGTGGAAGGGGAGCTGTCCTTTCTCCAAAGATGAATTATTGTACTGAGTCAAAACAATTCCAGAGAGCTCATGGTTCTATTTCTGCTGAAATTGCAACGTCTTAAGACCCGGTAACTAGAAAAGCAAATTAGGATGAGGCTATAGATGGAGTCTACTAGAACTTCTTTCTCTTTCTTAGCATGGGTAGGGGTGTTGTCCCAGGAGCGTTTCGGGGAGCGGTGTCTGCTTTGAATGGTACCCTGCCTCAAGGGTGTGTTGCTGACTCCTTATGCATCAGTGAGTTTGTGAGGGAGAAGCAAAAGCAGATTGTTGCAGATACCCAAGTCAGTAGTGTTTAAACAACCAACGTAGACTTTTATCATATTTGTGATTTTGATTTATTTGGTGCAGTTGTGCTGAGAAGTTGTGGAGCTCTTCTTTGCATTTAGCTGGACTCCTTGCAGGACCCCAACTAGATGAGGGAACTCCAGGCCATGTTGTGCTACTGAAATGTGATGGGTGGCAGGATGGCATTTGCCAGAACACTGTAATTGCCACTTAACAATTCCATGTTGGATTCAGTGAGGATTAGTGGAAAAATCTGAGTGGAATCTATAGGGATACAGAGATTGTGGTTGCACTGAAGGTAGCACGAATAATGCATATTGAGATGTTCCAGCTGCTTCCTGTATACTTAATTTAATTTTAAGGTGATTTCAAAAACTTTCAATTGAAAGCCTAGACTTAACTGCAATCAATTTTTAAAAAGTTTCACTTAATGTTTTTTTGTTTTTTTTTTTTTATGTGTGAGCAAAAACATTTACAAAAGTAAAAATCAGAAAACTTCATGCAGGGATTGGATGGACTATTACTGGAATATTATAGTACGGTCTAAGTGTTTTTTCCTATATCACAGAATCACAGAATTTCTAGGTTGGAAGAGACCTCAAGATCATCGAGTCCAACCTCTAACCTAACACTAACAGTCCCCACTAAACCATATCCCTAAGCTCTACATCTAAACGTCTTTTGAAGACTTCCAGGGATGGTGACTCCACCACCTCCCTGGGCAGCCTGTTCCAGTGTCTAACAACCCTTTCAGTAAAGAAGTTCTTCCTAACATCTAACCTAAAACTCCCCTGGCGCAACTTTAGCCCGTTCCCCCTCGTCCTGTCACCAGGCACGTGGGAGAACAGGCCAACCCCTGTTGGGCCTCTCTACAGCCTCCTTTAAGGTATCTGTAGAGAGCGATAAGGTCGCCCCTGAGCCTCCTCTTCTCCAGGCTGAACAAGCCCAGCTCCTTCAGCCGCTCCTCGTAGGACTTGTTCTCCAGGCCCCTCACCAGCTTCGTCACCCTTCTTTGGAACCGCTCAAGCACCTCGATGTCCTTCTTGTAGCGAGGGGCCCAAAACTATATAGCTGCATCCATTTTATATCGTGTAGCCACAAAATCGATGCAGTCCATTATGAAGTGTTCAGAAAAATGACATGGAATTAAGTATGGTAAAGGTCATAAATGAGATTCAGAATTCAAAAAAAACTTTTTTTTTTTTTTTTTTTTTAAGTAATACTTTGATATGAACAACATCGTTTACAGTAGTTAGGACCTTAAAAGAGTGGTAAGAAATCACTGTAATGAATGGCCAAATGTTTAGTGAAAACTTCCTGGTAGAGAGAAATTGTGTGTTGGTTTTTTTTTTTTTTTGTATATATTTTATATATATATATATATATATATAAATATATATAGTGTATATATATATATACACTGCTTGAAAGAGGTTTTCTGTGGAGCAGATGCAACTGACGATTTTAATTGTAATGTTATTTATACTTTTTTTTTTTGTAGAGATATTTCATACTACTAGACTACTGGTATTTCTCTAATGCTATCTGTGAAAAGGTGGTCGTATTTTTCTTGGATTGCTTGGTGAATTGTCAACACTCCAGATACTCATCTAGAATTTCTCAGAGCAGTCAGAATTGGTTTTTATGTTCTTCAGCTTTGCAAATCTTGCAAACCTCTTGTACTGGCTGCAGTGGAGTTTTGCAGTCAGCTGCTGATAATCCTAAGCTTGGTATCTCTTAATTGAGGCTCGTTAACAGTCATTCAGAATCTTCTGATAAGTTTTGAATAAAGTACATCCATTTAACTCTGAGCTGACTTTTCAACATGTGACAAATGAAGCAACAGATGAAATTTAAGGTAATTTTCATTGGTGAGGACTTTGGGTGAAGAGATGATCTTTGTCTAGACATGTATGGATGTCTTCCAAATATATGTAGTAAATAATGTAATGACAGCGTTGATCAGGGTATTATAATTGTTTAACAGAAGGATCAGGTCATTTAGTAAGCACAGGAAGATCTGAATGCTAATGGCTTACCAGGATTGGTTCTGGAATTATTTTAATAGGTTTCTGGAGAAGCTGCCTGTATTGTTGTACCCTTAGTTTGCCAGTCATGGAATATTAAGCTTTTGATCCATTGGCAGTTTTATTCCTGATGATTAAAAGCTTGCTCTTCATGGCACTGGAAGTATTCCACACGTGTGTCTGTATATACATGTTTTATTGCTTTCTAATTTGAAGGCAGTTCTCCTGGACCACAAAATCCAGTTTCAGAATCAGACTTAACTCGTGACTCCTTCGGACAACTTCCTTATTTTTAGGCAAACAAAGAATAAAACAAACAAAAACCCTTTTTGGGCTCTAAGAAGAGTTATGACCTCTTCAGTTAGTCATTAGTAGTGAGGAAAAACATCTACTTAGCACTGGCTTAAACTTCAGGGAGGAATTGCTCACCCAAAGACCCCACATGGCCCCATCCATCTTGGGATCTCCAGAAAGATGTGTGGACCTGTTAGAACAGGTCTAGAGGAGGACCATGAAAACGATCAGAGGACTGGAACAGCAGTCCTGTGAAGAAAGGCTGAGGGCTGGGGTTGTTCAGCCTGAAGAAGAAAAGGCTGTGGGGAGACCTTGTTGCAGTCTGCAACGTGCATAAAGAAGACTTATGAGAGCAATGGATAAAGGCTTTTTACCAGGGCTTTTAATTACAGGACAAGGGGTAATGGTTTTAAACTGAAGGAGGATAGATTTGAATTGGATATAAGGAAAAAAAATCTTTCATGATGATGAGGCACTGGCATGGGTTGCCCAGAGAAGCTGTGGATGCCCCACCACTGGAGGTGTTCAAGGCCAAGTTGGGCGGGGCTTTGGGCAACCTGATCAAGTCAAAGATTTCCCTTCTTGTCCCTGCAGGGGTGTTGGACTAGATGACCTTCAAAGTTCCCTTCCAACCCAAACCATTCTATGATTCAGTGAAATACACGTGAGATTTCAGTGATCATACAAAAAATAAAATAAAAATAAACAAGCAGCATCTGGTAAGTAGAGAGTGCCAGAACAGGCAGAGCACATCACCATGATACTGAAGTAGGAAATGTCTTTCAGCACGACGGCTTTCCAGAGCCTTGGTAGGTCAGGGCGCAAGGAGGGTGACATCTGTGAAATCTGTTGCATCATCTTAGGTGGGCTGAGGAAGTTGGATCTGTTCACCTGTCAGCATAGGTCCTTATATTTTCACATTAAGTCTTCTGGATCCAACCTCAAGTTCAGCTCTCTTATTTTTGACTGGTAAAACAGCTGGGATAAAAGTTATTTTTCAACTAGTTTTCATAGCTGAAGCAGCCAGCGCTAGTGCAGAAACAGTGCAGTAAGAAGGAAAGGGGGTTTGTCAGCAAATGTGATTTGGTGCTCTTAGGCAGCTTTTGAGATTCAAAACTCTCTTGCAGTCTGAGCATTTTGAAACTGAATTTAAGTTGATAAGCCAATTTAAACTTTAAGCAACTGCTCCACGTCTGTAACTTCACCCTCTGAAGAGAAGAGGGGAAGTTGGTACCTTTTGAAATGAATGGGGAAATATGCTGAAGTCTAAGGAGGAGGTAATTTGTACTTTGCAGAATACAGAAAAGCTATAGGAGAAGGGAGGATCATACTGTGCTATAAAAACTATCAATTTTTGATATAAATTGATCCCTTCATCTAGTAAACGTATGAGTTTCCATTTAGGTTTATCTCTTGAAGGTGCTTGATAGGCTGTCCTTGCGCATCATGAGTAAGGAATAATTATATAGAGGGAAAAAAATATGCCCTGGTAGCTGGATGTGTTTTCATCTTAGAACGTAAAAGATACCAGATTACTTCCGTATCAAGTTCTGCAACTTAATCGTCCAGTTCTCTATCCCAACACAAGAAAGAGCACCATTGTACCGCCATGGCTCTTCAGTGAGAATCTCACATTTAGATACTGCTGAGATTCATTGAAACAGTCCTTAAACACTTTTTCACCTTACAGCAGTTTTTTTTGTTGTTTTGTTTTTTTTTTGGTTTTCTTCAAAAATGTTGCAGATTTCTTCTCTCTATGTTATAAACCAGCATCTTACAACACCATTAAGGTCAACAGCTCGAGTGCCGACAGCCCACTTTTTGTTGGCATTGTAGCCTGCCTGGAGGGCACGAATGAACTCCCATGTTCTTCAGAGTATTTTGAATTTATTGTTGAGCATATCTATTTCATAGACGTCTTCCTATATTTTGGTATCTTTCTCATAGTAAAGTAAAACCTGCTTGCTTAATTTCTTTTGTTTTAAAGAAGTCCTGTAACAAGAAGTCAATTTGTATAAGAGCCTTGGAGCTCTGAAATTTTCCTTTTTGTTCCACGGTCTGAATTCCATCATCTGGGCTTAACGCAAAAGAAGTTTTTAGGGGAAAAGCTGAGGATGATTGAGGTTTTTCTGTTATGATTGGTGTGTTTTTGTTTTTGTTTTTTCAATAGTAAGAGAAACTCATGACTACCATCAATAAGAAAGAGTTGTGAAATTCAGTATGGTTTTCTTTGCTTTTTTCTTGGCTTGTTCTGTGTTTTTTTTTTCTTCTTTTTTTGGGGGGGTGTTTTGTTTTTTTTTTATTTTTGTTTTTAACCTTCCCACAACAGTAGCCCCAGCTGGCCCACGATGGCCTTCGATGCTCCCCTAGTCAGCACCGTTCTGTGGATATTGGTCAAGAGCAGGCACGTAGGAAAAAGTGCAAACGTGTTTTCTGGTAACTTGTATCTAATAAACTGTCTCCTAAGCTTCTGCAGCTTGTGGGATAAAAGCAATTTCAGAGGCTGGTCAGATGTCTGGGAATTTGCTGCAAGGTGCGATGGGTTAGTTTAACACAACCATAGGACAATTTTGGTGAGTGCTGGCTAAACTGCCAGTGGGACGCTAACTGAACCAGCAGCTTTTGCTGAGTACAGGACTGTTGTTCTTTATGCTGTGTTTTGTTTGGTGTTGTTGTTTGGTGTTGTTTTTTTTCTTCACACTTTAAGTACTGGCTGATCCATTAATGCAGCAAGTATATCCTTGACAAAAGAAGATTATACAACTAGTGTCAGGGAACTCATCTTACAGTAGTGGCAAATATGAAAACTGCGTTTTATTTGTGTGTTTTAGCCAACTAGAATAGCTAATGATTTAGTGACTTAAACCTCTAAGTAAGACTACAAGATATGGAGGTGATAAGTTATTTAAGGACAGCCTGCTGAGGTTAAAACATAGTGGTATATTTGCAGATGCTTCTCTTGTAATGCTCTTTGACATTGCAGATTTGTATATACATGGGGTTTTTGTTTGTTTTAAAAAGAGAGGGCTTCAGTATCCTTGATAGACATGCATGGGTAGGGTATTGTGGATTGATTTCTGACTCCTGCTAATTCAGATTTTGTGTCTTCCTGTGTATAAAAAGTTTTCCCACTGAGCCAGGAAAAGAATGCCTGAGATCTGAATCATCTAGTATGAGAAACAGGCAAACAGGTGACAGCTTAGAAAATAAGCATGCATTTTCTTTTGATTGTGCTGATTTCCCCAGAAAAGATAACATAAAGCACGTATGCAATATCTTTGATAGAGTGCCATCAGTGAAGCTGAGCTGTCGTAGGAAATAAAGACAATGGCAGTTCAAGCCATAGGGTATGTTTTTGCTTGCCTAGGGAGGCTCCTGCTGCTTTTAGGGGTGGGATGGGGGGAGTCCTGTAGGTTTTGTAGGAGGAGGAAACTGGCTGTAGTCAGCCACAGCTGCTTTGTTACAGAAAACTATGCATAATATGCACAATTGTGTTTTAAATTGTGATTTATGTATAATGGTCTATTAAAGATTGAACAAGTGCCAAAATTGTGAAAATGGTTTCCCTCGCAGGAATTCATGAAAGTATTTGAATAAAACTCCAGTAATTCAGCTGAGAGTTTAAGTTTGTAGTAAATATAATAAAGTAGTTATATACATTTACCAGTATTTGTCCAGAGGACTGCAGGAGTAGAAGTGGATCTCTTTCAAACAAAGCAGAAAAAAAATGCAGTTTTGCTTGTTTGTTTTCCTTCCTCTTTAGCTCTTATCAAATACATCCGACCAGTATTTGTGTCTCGGTCAGACCAGGATTCTCGCAGGAAAACTGTTGAAGAGATAAAGAGACGCGCTCAATCTGATGGTAAATGGCCACAGGTACTGTATGCTCCTACTGGGTGTCAGATGGTATTTGGCATTTTGAGGCTTCAGATAGGCAGTTTTCTTCATTTCCTTGCAGGATGCTTTAGGTGGTTTGTGGGGGGTGAGGTTCTCCCTTCTTTTTGGAAGATCAAACATAAGATCCTAATCTATACCCAAAAAAAAAAGTAACCTAGCTTTTCATTGCAGTGTATTTTCAAGGGGAGACTGGATAAGTACGTGGGAAGAGAGGTTTTAAGTGATATTAAGTGGACAAAACCGTGTCAGGTTTAGGAAGACCTCTAAGAAAATCATTAGGTGCTCAGTAGAATACCTGGGGAGTATTGTGCGTTTCTGCCCTTCTCAGTATTCTGGCATACTGTCACTGCTGGAGATAATCCAAGCAATTCAAATGTTCTAGTAACTGGAGTATGTCTCTGTTGGGCCACATCGTGAAAACAGTTCTGTAATCGTATTTGAGGGTTTTTTCTTCACTTAAAATGTGACTGCTTATAATGTGCGTTGGAAGAGAGTAATGAGAAGGGAGGGATGAATGCCTAAGGTCTATGTTTTATAAAAGCATGTAATTTCTCTCAAAATTTGAAGCACTTTTTTCTTGTGATATTTTTTTTTAGAGTAAGATAAAAAGTATTACCTTTTTTTAATGGCATTGTTACTACTACAGTGGTTATGTCCACATGTTGGACTACTGAAACATTTTGAACAATGCAAGAAAGGCGATACAGAGCTTTCACATCATGACTTTTACCAATAGATTTCAAAGCACTTAAAAACAAATAAATATTCATATTTATAGATGACGAAATTGAATTACAGAGCTGAAATGATTTCTAGAATATCTAACAAACTTGTACAAAAGTAGGCAATAAAACCAGTAATGATCATTTTGGCCATTGCCCTGTCTTCTTATTTACTTTCCTTTTTTACTTCCTTTAAATGCCTAGTTCTGTAACGCAGCAAAGTTTCAGCAGTTCATGGCTTTTTGCCAAGATTTTTTGTGCATTTTTTTCAGTCTAATCTCTTCCTCTGAATTTGGTTCAACTTGAGCATTTTTCTCCTTGTTAGAATTCCGTTTAGATATTTTCAGCCTCCGTCATTCTCGTATCTGTGTGCAAGCCCAGTAATAAATGCAGAAAGAAGATATCAATCTTTCTTTTCTTAGCCTGTAAGCAGGTAGACTGGGAGCATGAATTTAGTTTTGGTGCAGAACTGAGTACAATATTTTTACAGGCACTAAAGACTTGTGAAAATTCTTTCAAACTCGTGAGGTTTTCCTAGTCCCTGTTAATGTTCTGATAGAATCATGTTGTTATTAGAGGTCAAGAAAGAGGCAAATTAACGGAGTTTAAAAAAAAAAAAAAAAAAAAAAAAAACTCCTCCTCAATGAAGAGGTCAAGCAGAGTTCTATCTTAATAGTCAAAAATGTTTTTCTTTTATCAGGGAAAAGTAGTTCTGCTTTTTTTTTTTTTTAATGTAATTGGTTAACATTATATTTTAAAAGATTTTATAAATACACATTCAAATATTTCTTAACTTTTTTTTTTTTTTAACTTGAAGATAATGATATTCCCAGAAGGCACTTGCACAAACCGATCCTGTCTAATTACATTCAAGCCTGGTAGGTATGATGCTTACTTCTCTGTTCTCTACAGACTGTTCTTGTTTCTTCAATTTCTGAAATACCACTTGCATTGTAATTTGTTTGCTGCTGCAGAAATAGAATTAAATCTTGCAGTAGGGTGGGATTGAAATAGAAATTTCTTGAACTGCAATTCTTTTGTAGAATTGTAGTTCCACTGTTATGTAAAACATTGATTTGAATAATTAGATTTATTTTCTTCTGAAATTCATGAGAGCTGAAGGAGGTTTCTTACTGGGTATTTGTTTGTGGTTGTCTTTTTTTAATGCATCCTCCATTTCCTCTTTTGGGTCTGTCTTGTAGTGTTTCAATATGCTATAAAGGTATCAGCTTGTATCCATTTCAGACTGGTGCTGCATTTGCTGCTGTGTAGTGTTTGGTTGATTCCTGACTTCTTGAACTTTCCTGTTGAGTTGCATTCTGGTGAAGATAGCACAAGAATCTTGCCAGTATAACACTGTTACAGGGGCTCTTTTTTTTTTTTTTTTTGTCTCAAGATTTATTATCAAATGTCTGCATTCTAGGCTGTTTTCTGTTAGTAGCACCCTGTTAGCTTATCAAATTAGTAGAGCACATAACATTGAACATTGTTGCAGATGTGCATTGTGGTTATAATGGGATTGTCAACACTGTGGTGAACGAGCAATGGGTAATAAAAACTTGCCTTCCTGGTGTAGGTACAAAGATGAGAATGAGCAGGCTGCGGTGAACAAGGCCTTTGTGATATATGTGTTTTGTTTTTTTTTGTTTGTTTGTTTTTTGACTCTTCCTAGGCTTCTGCCTAGCTCACTGTGTTCTGTTCTTACTGAGTGTCTCATTTTATGTTGCTCGCAACTTACATATCCCTACTGGAATATCATGCAGTGAGTCAGCATTGTGGTTCCTTGTACTAATTCATTTGGCTGAAGGAAATACTGAGCAAACATTCAAAAAGCTCTTTCTTTACCCTTCTTAACGCTTACCTTGTAGATGAATGAGTGGTGGTTAGAACATCTGCTTCTTTCGCGCTCTATTCCTTCCCTGTCCTCCTTCCCCAAATCCTGGCCACGCTTTGAAAACCCATCCAAATTCTTCTTTAAAACCCTGTTTTCCTTCTCTCCCTCTGTTCCATAGGCATTCCAGCCACCAGATGCCATATACTTTCTGCCTCCAATTCCCACTATCTTCCTCTCCTCTGGTCTAGTACATGCTGCTGTCTACCTCTTGACTATCTCACTTTTCCTGCTGCAACTTCATTCTGTATCCGTCCAGCCTCCCAGAATTCCTTTGCCTCAAGATACCTCACTTTGATATCAAGTAACTTTAGGTCTCTGAGTAACTGCTTTCAGGATGCCTTTCCCAGTTCTGCTTTTATGGCCTACATTCCTTGTTCTTATTATGCAGTTTTTTGTTTGTGGTCATGCAAGCTAATCACATGGGCAAACTATCTAGCTTTGTTTAAATAGTAACGTTGTCATCTACCACTCAGATTTTGTCATCTTTGAAAGTTGCTTAGGCTGCTGTTCTTGGAGACATAATAGAAAGTACTACTGGGCCAAGAACCACATCTCTGCAAGGCCCCGTTCAAACAACCTTCATTAAAGATGTTTATACACCACTAGCAGTTTTTCTTTTTACGTCTATGTAATTATTCATTTTGTAAAATAAACATAATGTTAAGCATACAGTATACTTTCATCATCTGGTTCTTAATTTTAATTGGAATATTCAGCAGTATTTAGTAAATTACCATACAAAACTTAGTTTAAGTAAAGTTTTCTTTTCAAACCAAATGTTTTCACAAAAAAAATGTTTAGAAGAATGTTGAATAAGATAATTATAAAGAAAATGATTAGCAAATGACACATAGATTTTGTGCCACTTATTAGAACCATAATTTTCACATAAAATGAAGTGACACTTCTGTGCACTAGTTCAGTATACTCCATTGTATTTTACATAACTGACTAAAAACAAGCCCTTCTGAGGGGAATTAAGGTGGGGAAAAAAAAGAAAATCATTCTGTTACTTCAGAGATGATACATTTCCTCTAAACTAGTGTTGCTTAGCTAAATGTAGAGAGCTTCTTTTGCATAAGAAAGCTTAGATTCTTCATGGAAAAAATACTGTTGACCATGAGGAATCTTTTGACTTAACTATCTTGCATGTTCTCTTAATTTTTGTAATAATTTATCAAGTTGAATTTGGTACTGGGCTCTGAGATGTGTGCATGACAGTTTATGTAAAGCATAATTTAGAAAATACAAGTAAGCATTCATAATCTTACCTTCTGAAAAGGTCACTCTCCTTTTTTTTTTTTTAATCACTTTTGAGGCTACTTCTGGGTCTTTTTTCTCTATCAACTAATCCTTATACGTTATCAGACCATTAATCATAAAATCTTTTGCTGCAATAAATTCTGTACCAAAATGTGCTATAAGGTAATGATGTGTCTTGTGCCTTCTAGGAGCATTTATTCCTGGAGTTCCTGTACAGCCAGTGGTTTTACGTTACCCAAACAAACTGGTAAGTTCAGCTTGCAATGTAATTGAAAACGTGGGGTATTTTCCTCTAAATTCATTGGTACTTCTGTAACCTTGTAGGTTAGATAATTAAGCTTAGAAATTTGGAAAGTACTAACACATTCTTATTTGCTGAACGCGCATTCCTTAAGCTTCTAGCAGGACAAATAGACTTAATAAAAGCAGAAGCATTTGAATTTTGAGTTAAGTTACTCCATTAAAACAGTGCTCTGAAAGTTATTCAGGTTGTTGTGAGAAGTGCTGTGCATGTGACAAGACATAAAGGTCCTAGACAGAAACTGACACTTGTTCTGAGGCACTGCCCGTTATTGCAATGTGTGCTGGGGAGTTTTTTTCATTTATTGCTGGAAGGTACATCTGCGCCTGCTGAGTGTGAGGATGCTAGTCACGCATTAACACAGCTAGCTAAATGATAATAGAAAAATGTGTTGGGGATCTTGGCACCTTCATAAGGTGTCTCATTGTCCATATTTCACATTCACTTTGCACTTGGGTCACTAGCTGGTTTGAAATAGTCCTTCAGTATACACCAGATTAAGGTAAAACACAGTTTCTTTACAATATCTAAAGTCAACAGTTGTCACAAATGGCTGTAAAGATCTAGGCAAACGAAAATGAAACACCTGATCTACCTCAAGATAATGAAGGATTATGTTTTTTACTTCAGCTTTCTTATTGTGGATACTTTCTTGTCCTATTGCAGCAAGAATCCTGTCTTTCTGCATTCCTCAGTTAATTAGATGCTTCCCAGTCAACCTTACTAGCTTTTATAATTGAACTTCTTTTTTTGAGCCCTCTGGGGCTATTTTCAGGTCCAGTCTGTCCCCTTATTAAAATGGACATTATGTAGGGGAAGGTGGGAGGAGTGTCAGAAGTAAAACAAGGACTACCTTGCCTCTTTGATGTGCGTCACATCAGGTCTCGTGTCATCTCTCCTTGACTAGCCCATTAACAACCCCTTGAACTAAGGATGGATTTCATTTCCTGAGTGCTTATGTTTTAAAGTTTTGTGTTTGTTTTTTTTTTCCATCCATTGAACTTTCCATCAATTTATAGGTTGATATCAAACATGCTTGATTTAAAAAATAAATAAATAACTTTTCTTAGGTCCTTTATTTAACTTGCATAGACCAGCACTTGCTTTTGACTGAGAACAGGCATGATAGCCATAACTCAGTTATCTTTGGGGATGCTGTGACAAGTGTAGCAGTTGCTATGCTCATGTAGAATTAAGAGCATTGTAATGCTTCTGATTACATAACTATTTCCAAGAAAAAGTTGAGTAGCTTTTAAAACCTTTATTGCACTGCCAGTTTTTTATAATGCATATTTATAAAACTGTAATATGAAAATATCAAACCATATATTTTTATATTTTATATATATTTTTAATAAGGCTACCGAACTTTAATCTGCAAATATCTTAAAATATGTAGTACATAATATGCAGTGTTCGTAAGCTAATATAAATGTTTCTAATACTGTATGAAGAGACTGAGGCTCACATTGATTTATCTTCAATGTAAGAAATTTTTGAGCTTTTATTTTTTTATTATTATTACATGTTTTAAACCTGTAAATATCTATGTAGATATCCAACAGGCCTGAATCTGTGTGTGTTACTTTACTTGTTCCTACTGCTTTTAATTACTGTAAAATACTGCTAGATTTCAGTGCCTTGCTGAGTAATTTAACCTCCAAACTTTCATTAAACGTTGAGTGGGGGGAGGAGAATAATTGCTATTGCTGCTTAAGTTTATATTAGTTTGGGATCAGAGAAGAGTTGTATCGAAGTTGGAATGAGGAGAGGAAGGAGGAATACAATACGGTGGTATATGAAGGTGAGATTTTGATTAGGCTGCAGTTAAGAGTTAAGTAGCAAGAAAGAATGGAGTAGGGAGATAATGGTTTTCATAGGGTAGGACTACATTTCTGGAAAACTTTAATTGTTTCTGGTTTCTTCTCTGTCTACTTGCTTGACCACTGCATATTATAATTTGGGGTTTACAGAAGAATTTAAGTTCTTTCCTTAGCCAGCAAAGGCAAGTCAGGCATTGTGTTCGGTCACTCCACTGCTTTTAGCCTGAGCCCAGCCATGGTGCTCTGCCTTCGGAGCTCCGACTTCTGAAAAAGGGATCAGACTTCAGTGCTCCTGACCATTCAGGGAGGACTTGGGAGGTTAGAGCCTGGGGTGAATATAGCAGGCGTGTGCACTCTTCCTTACTTATTTCCTACAACTTATTTCCTACACGTTCAAGAACTATGTGAAGTACTACCGTTCTGCAAGGGAATGAAACATATCAAAAACTGATATAAATTCAGTTCTCCTCTAGCAAATAGATCTGTTTCTGGTTAACATCACTTCTTTTCCTGTCAGTGTTGCCCCAAATACCTTTCTTCTTAGGGCTTGTCACTATTCTGCAGTAAATTATGCCTCTGGTCCTGTGTCAATGTTTCTTTAGGAATAATACGTGACTCTGTTGCTCCTCATGATGCATGATCAGAAAGAAATTAAAAGCCTTAAAATGTTGTTTAGATCTGAAATTCAATATTTGCTTTTGTTCTCCCAGTTTGTCTGGTAGTACTTCACATTTAGGATGTTAGACAGCTACTGACTATATTCCATTTAAAGGAAACACTGATGCCCAATCCACAGGTCCTACAGCAATTGTTTTACAATTCATTTTTATGCTAATTCCCTTCATTGTGCATATAGCTCTTCCTTTATTTGAATTTTCTAGTAGAGTGATAATAACTATGGAAGGCTATATACCTCTCTAAATATTACAGATCTATTTTAACCATATTTTGATGTCCAAGTGTCTTCTGAAATTAGCTGTGTTATTTGTTGTGAGGTTTGGCAGCATCTCTTCTTCAGTGTTACTGTGTCAGAGCTGAGTGGTTGTATTTTTACATGCTTGCTCTCCTTCTGCTACAATGTTTGCTCTTATGTTTATAGCTTGGTATGGTTCTCAGCATCTCCCTATGTCAAATAAAATTATGTGAAGGATGGACTTGCATGCCATCCAAAGGATCCATTAATAGATATAAAAGTTTCAAAGTGTTCCTGCAGTGTTAGCAGAGTGTGTGCTGTCTGTGAGCATCCGCTGGTAGCTGTGAAGTATCTTAACCCAGGTATGGAAAACACTGCTTACTATCTTCTGCTTGCTCTTTTCATCCTAAAAATATACGTTAGCAAGAGCTTACTACTAAATAGTTCTCTCTCCTGAAGGACACAATCCTCTTCTGCACTCCCTGGCATTTACTCCTTATCCCTTTTGCATCCAAATGTTCTCGATGAAAAAAAAGCCTGCATGTCTACTGTGACATTCGTATTGGGAATTTCTCACCGGATTGTTGATAGATATGTTACGTATTTGAGTTTATCGAGGGCTGACTTCTGAAAATATCTACTCTCTTTCAGTGATCCTTTGCCTAGCCAAAGGCAGGGGAATTGGCTTTTTCTTTGTCTCCTGCACTGTTGTAATTTAGGGAGATGAATGAGATACATGTAGTACTTTGGTGCTCTATTACGGCAAATCTAGTCCCTGGTAAGAGAATATCAGCCATCTACTCTTTAACAGTCAGGGCTTATAAATGAAAGCTCTTTATGGGAAAAACAAAGCCCCTCATGAGTTTACTTGTAGTATTACCAGAGACATCAAAATTGCCATAAGAATTTTATTTCATGGCAGAACTAGAGACCAAGTTCTATAAGATTGCTAGGTGGAGAAGTCTACATTCGTGCAACCATGTTGATTGCTGGAAATTGAATACTTTTTAATGATATTTTGTTTGGTTTTAAGATAACTGTTGAAAGTCAAAATTTAAATTCTTAGCAGTCCTTCATGGTGTATTGACCTTATTTCAGGCTGTTGATCTATCACAATAATCATATTTTTCACTTTTCATGCCTGTGCTGCCTTCTTTCAGTTTTCCTTGAGTCACGTTTTTTAAGTTGTAATTAAAATGAGTTTAACTTGATTTTTTTCAAGATCACGGCATGTGATCGATCACCTAAACTCTTTAAAAAGATTTTCTGTGGTAGCATAGAATGAACCTAGAATTTTTTCAGTAGGCTAACAGAAATCTTTCCAATGTTTTAGAAACGTGAATTTCTTGAGTCCTGTTGGCTTTGTAGTAATGACTTGTGCATGATTTTTCCAATTAAACAAAAACAAACAAACAAACCTGGAACTCATTTTCAGGTTTTTGCATTCTTGCTCCTACATGTAAATTAAGTCTCCAAGTATTGCAATTTTTTCCTACACTATTTCTTAATCTTACAGTTTAAAAATCTTGTGACCTTTGTCATCTTCCTTCTTGTGATCTGTTATATACTCCATTCAAGGTCTCTGTTCTCTTTTGGCTAGTTGCATCTTGTTTACTTCTTTAACTGCTACTTCCCCTCTGTTAATGTTTTACACACAATTCCTTTTTTTTGTTTGTTTGTTTTTTTGGCAGTTCATAAAGGCATCATCTCCATCTCTTTCAAGACCCTTTTACTGCAATAAAAAATTGGCTAGAATTAAGGGATGGTTGACAGTAATTTGAGTAGTAGAAGGGAGGTTAAAACTCCTGCTAGGCATCACTTTCTGAGCAGGATTATAACTGTGGATTCCAAGAAATGTTCCTATGTGGCTTTGGGATTTGGAGTTGTAAACTTTTTCGTGTCAGCCATCTAAAAGTGTTGCTCGTCTTCCCTGAGAGCAGCTCGGTGGGTTTAGATGTCTTGTACCGTTTGATTTTTGGATCAGGCAGATGGATGGATGCCATCCGTGAGGGGGAAAAAAGGCAAGTGGAAAAATCCTGTTTGAGGTAAAACATGTGGTCTTCCTGGTCCTACTAATTCTTTTCAGTTGGGAGGGTTCCCGTTAAGTCATCTCTACAGGTCTCAGACACTCGAGAATTGTTGCAGAGCTCATATCTATAGCTGGGAGGTACAGCTACAGTGTGGGGATACTTGAGGGACATCCTGTCCAGCAGGGTGGGTCAGGAAAATGCACATGGACTGAGAATCTCAAGGAACATCAGCTTAAAATATTATATATATTTGTTTTCCAAGATTAACAGCTTTTTAAGAATTCCCCAAATCTTTACATGTCTTATAAATACAGATATAGATATTCCACGTTTATGAGCTGAATTGGTGGGTGTTTCCTAGCTTCATAAGAGTTTGATTCCTGCTATCTTTGGTTTACTCATGTTGGGACTAAGAGCTTGTGGAAATTGAATTTTCCATGAAAACCTATTAGCCATATGTCATCAGTTATGCTATCTATAATTTAACAAAAGTTTAAAGTGCAATAATTAAAACTGTTATGCTTCCTTTCCGAAGGATACAATCACATGGACATGGCAAGGCCCAGGAGCGTAAGTGGTTTATATTTTATTGCTTGCATCATAATTGCTTTCCTTAATTAGCTTCTATTTACATGATTTGTAGAAGTATGTAGTCAAGCAGTAATTGCTGGCTATTGCATTGTGCTGTGGGTTTTAGTCTTTTATGCATTATTCCCTAACTATGATAATGTTCAGTTAGAGGAATCCAGTTATAAACAGTGTATTTCTGAAACTATGGTTTTGATGGCTTGCTGGATGAATTTTATTTCTTTTCTTCTTCCTCTGAGCCTGAAGTAAAACGAGATGCTTCTGTTCTGCATATTTTATTGCCTGCAAGTTGATTTGGAGTGTCTGTATGAAGTCTGTATGGCTACTGTTTGAAATTGGTCTAGTCCCATGGAGACAGTCATCCCACCTAGGAAATTTGAAAATATCATTTCCATTATCTTGCCAGATTGTAACTTTGACTCATTTTAAAACCCTATGTTATTCTAGAGGTTCCTTAGCAAATTAATGTCATGTAAAATACAAAATGGAGGAGTTTGGGTTTGTTTAATTTTTTTAATTTTTTTTTCCTATGCTGTTTCAACATTGGAGTCAGTTTAGAAGTTCTAAAATGTTTAAATGAAGATCAAACCCAGAAATTTTCAATCCTAGGTGAAGGGCAGTTGGATTCCATGGTTAATGGTTTGCTTCTCCCTTGGTAACTGCTGTTCTGAATGTCCCACCTGAGATCCTGTATTTTAGTAGGAATGAAGAAACCATTGTGATAAGACAGGATTCAAGTAATTTAGGATTTTTTTCACCTGTAATTGGACTAAGAGCCAGATCTAATTAAAGACACAAATTTGGAGACTTGAGGAAATCACTGATCACTTTTTAAAACTTGCAATTCAAACTTTCAGCTTTAAAGAACTTCCAGCTTTAGTGTCCTGCCAAAGGAGTCAGGAACATATAGGAGTTGGGGAGGAACTTGTAGATGGGTTACCTCAAAGCACTTAAATGTGTATTACACAATACTCTCATTCAGAAGTGTTGACCCCTACGAACAAACTTAAGCCAAAAGAAAGCAGAATCAAATTCTGAAGTAGCATGTAATGTTATGCAAATTCACTTGGGGCATTTAAATTACGGTTTTACTTAATTAGGTTTAATTCTCATGAGTGGCCTAACAGGTATTTCTGATGTCTTAGCAGAAAATACTGTTAAGGTTGCTACATTCACTTTCTCAAACATCTGTTGTCTTATGTCATTTTATTTTGGTGTCAGCCAGAACATAATCTGAAAACATTGCTGTATCCAGGCATACTCTGTTTACAGAAGATTGGCAGGGTATTCAAAGTTGATGCGGCCCATAAAATAGATCGAAAACGTTTTTCATGGAAACTGAACACTTTCAGAAAGTAATGTTTTTACTAGTTTATTATTCAGCGCAGATTAACTTCACTGCACCTTGAAAACAAAGACTTTGACGACAGTATACAATTTAAATTTTCTCTACCTCAGACTTGAAGTTAAATATGGCTTCTATCAACTATTTATTAATGCTGTTAATTTAAGGCTAGTGTGTAAAAACAAGTTGGGGTAGATTTTTTTTAAGGTATCTTTGAGGATTATAGGGTTGGAAGAGAAAAAGTTGTAAATTATTAGCTGTTTTTAATGTTCTTGGAGTAGGATGTAGAAATCAGATCTTCACATTTACCATTAATGGTGTAAACATGAAGTCATAAGTTCTGTTGTGGTGGTTGTACCTTTTCTTTGTTTTAATGTATTGGAAGTTAAATTGGAAAGGAGACAAAAAACGTGCTGCATCCCTGAATGAGTGTGTTGCAAATTAGTACTGCTTCTAGTAAGTGCACTTTATCTGCCTAAGAGGATTTTTATCTGCACTTCTAACATAATGATTGGCAGCTGTACGTACCCAAATACAGTATAAAGTGTGCCTACTAATGCTGCTCCCTAACTTAGGTTTACTAATTCCTATCCTGAATTTGAACACTACTGGAGTCCACTCAACCTTAGAAAGCAGTATCTTGTGTCTTAGACTACTGACACATATGTACTGCATTTCATTAACAGATTTCTGAAGTATAATTTGATTCTAAACAAAGGTAAAGATATAATCATGGTGGTTTTAATTAATCTTGTCAACTCTGTTGAATACAGCATTTTCCTGAAACAGACTTGCAGTTTCTTTATGTTCTCTGCATACATGTACATCAGTCATGTTGTTGTATGTATGAGTAACTGTGTATGTTACTGTTTGTCTTTTTAATTTTGGGTGTCTTTTAAGATGCTGTATATATTATACATACATATATATATTCAGTATAAAATGCTCCTGTCCCGCCTTACAGAACGTAATGTGTAGAAGTACTCTCAAAGACCTTTTCTGTTAAATTTGTATTTGAATATGATTGTATCTACATACCTGCAAGTAGGAATGCTACCTGAAGACTTTAGAGCATCATGTACTACTGTTTCACTATGTTTAATTTTTTTCTTCATCCTTTTCCTTTTTTTTTTCTCCCTTTTAGGTTAGAAATTCTGTGGCTTACTTTGTGTCAGTTTCACAATTCCGTGGAAATTGAGGTCAGTAAAATAAAGTATATTCAGAGCAGCATCATATACAGTAGTATATGATCATATACAGCAGTATACATCATATTGTTCATAATTCTGCAGTAAAAGTTTGCAATCAAGCTCTGCTTACACTGTTTTTTTTAAAAAAAAAAAAGTTTAAATACCACTTATTTTGGACAAGTATATCCGTATCTGAAAACGTAACCTAAAACTAAAAAAAAAAATACAGTTTCCCACTTGGCTTATGACTTTCTTATTTAAATTGAGTAGATATATTTCCAACTATAGAGTTAGCATTGTGAATAAAGCTCTTATCTTGTAATGCTGTGATTTGCTGTTCTAGCAATCACAGTGAATTTAGTGAATGCTGATGTACAAAATAAGAACTATCTTTTAAAGAATAAGAAACTGCTTACAGAGATTTTTACAATTTCTGCAATGTTCTGAATGTGAAATCAGAAAACACAAAATTGGAGTTCATGTATATTCTTAACATTGTTTTGAGGAAAACATTGTGGTCTTAAGGCTGAAGGCTACTCAAGTGGAAATGTGAAAATGTATTTAACTGATGGATCTGATGGCAGGGTAAATTAGTAGGAAGAACTATCGCTATTGTTATATACAACATATCCTAGTCACAGTAATCGTTGCAATGTTCTGTGTTTTGTTTCTTCAATAAATATTTGGAAAACAATGAATGCACAGAATACTGGCCACTAAATAATTGTATCTCTTGCAGAAACTTGTGATTGGTGTTATCGCTTCAGCTGAAAGTTTTCAGTTATTAACGGCTTAAAAAAAAAATCTTATTTACAAAATAGTGGTCTGATCGTGGTGTCAAAAAGAAAAGTAGATGTACTTTAACAACAACAAAAAAGTTGCATATAAGATAATAGGAACTGCCAGCTTACAAAAGGGATGATAAAGTTATCTGAAAATGTTTTTACAGTAAACTACTCCCCATTCTGTTTTGGTAACCCACAGCAGATAAGATCTTTTTCACAGGGGAGATATGTTTTACTTTAAAAGTATTCTACCAGGCTCCTGCTGTCCTGCTTATATAGTGTGTAACAACTGGATTCTTTCACTTTATATCTGTTTATAATACTTTGTTTTTCCCATGTTTGTCTTGTAACTTTTTTTCAAGTACTCTTAATGCTTGAAAAATTCCATTGCAGAGATCAGTTAGTATTCTCTACTTGTGTGAAAGACTTATATTCAGATGAATATCTCAAAACTCATATTTTGCCTTCTAGTAAGGTATATATGAGGTAGAAGGGCTGGGGAGTTACTGCCTCTTGCAAATATAAAACAAACCAGCTGATGAGCAAGCAAGATTTTTACTCTCTTGGAAACATGATTTTCTGCCCTAGGCAAGTAAAATGAGTCTTTTCACACAAGTGAACACTGCTGAGCTTTCTTGATTTTTGAGGCAGCAGCTGCTAGCAGTTGCTGAGTTTCTGTAGCTCACAGAGATCTTGCACGAGGACAAGTTATGGTCTTTGGTCGTCTTTAAGTAAATGAAACACCCTGTCCTAGAGCACGAGCTGGCAGAGCGTAGAGGAGCAGAGATTTTTTGCCAGGCTGTTTGCAAGGGTGAGGCAGCGTGCTTGAGAGCTACATATTGAATCTGGTCTTGTAAAGGAAGTGCTGCAGATTGAGGAATGTAGTGGAAGAAAGGGTGGTTCTGTGTTCACAGTCGTGGTTTTTCCCTGCTCTACAAAGTCAGTTGGCTTTTACTCCTGCCTTGTTCCATCAACACAGGGATACTGGTAAATAAAAACCAACGTTGATAACAGAGTAAGAGCTGAAGATCCAGTTATTCAGGAGGTGTACAGCCAGACAGTACAGTATTAGTATGGTTTTGATTAGATAATAGCTGGTAAGGTCTAACTGCCAAGCAATCAGAATCAGAGGTTTTCTGGTCTGGTTTTCTATGTATAAAATGAATGTCGTGGTGTACCATACATGTCATCCAGCATGTATATTGAAAAGCAAACATCAGTGTAGGTTTTATGATAGGTTGCTATAAAGATTGGGCTGTCCATTTTTTGCATACCATAATGATTCCAAGTGTGCAATCAAGCTCTTAAAGAAAAAAAGGGTGTGTGATCATCAGCACATGCAGCTTGCTTTGGCTCATGTCAGTTTGTTTTGCTGGCTTGTCAGCATCAGTGTTCAAACATCCATCACCTCACAGTAGCTGAGAGTTTTGTTGGTTTTGCTTGCGATGCCAGAATGACGGCGCTGTTTCCATCTCGTTAGGCACAGGTACATAGAACACCTCTGAAATTGCCTCATATTCAAACTTGTCCTGCATTTGGATGAATTACTTGATAGCAATTTGCAACTCAAGTAAAAGAAATATAATTGGGCTTGCAATTTGAAGGAACAATCTTTCTGTCTCTGTTAGCTTCATGTTCTTTGTCCTTTTATATATTATATCTTGCTGGACCAACATAATTACTTGTACACCTAGAAGAGAAGAATAGTGTGTTTTCAGTTACAGTGCTGAGTATAGGGAAACTAGGAAAACACAAAGTAAATTAATTTTTTTTTCAATCTTTGAACGCTTCTAAGAAACAAACTTATAATGATTTTAGATGACCCAGCATTTTGGGTTCTGCTGACCATACCATTATGTGATACTGAAAATGCTGCTAACTTCAGTTATTAAGAATTCTTTGCTTAAATGATAAAACAGATGTTTATTTCCCAATTCTTATTTTCTTTTTTTAAAGACCAGTATGAAATTCCTGGATCATAATTCCAGTTTTGTACTACCCATAGGTAATTATATTAAATATAACTAAGCATATGACAGTTGTTTTCTACTTCCGAAGCTTTCCACACAACTATAAACATTTTGATCAGTTAGTGTATAAATTTTCTCATGTCATTACACTACCAAAGGAATTATCTGTCTTGTACTGACATGGGGTGGGGAGGAGTCAGTGATTCCTTCTTACTCCTTATATCTGAAGAGTGAGTTAGTGGAAATGAGATGTTCTGAGGGTTTTTGTAGGTGAAACTGGGAATGATCTTGGTGCCTACATCATAGTTTAATAAATTCTTAGTCATAGGTAAAAGCTCAAATGTCTTTGAATGTAGGCCATCTCATTCTGAAAGCTGCCTCTTCTATCTATGCAGCAGCTCTGGTTTAATTGTGTGGTCACTTCTGCATGCATTTAGAGTTTTTCTGTTAATTGAGTACTAATACCCGGTGCCCAATCTGAAGGAAAAATTTTTGAAAAATCTCCGACAACAGAAGGATGAAAATGCTTGACTGCTTAATGTACAAATTGAATGATTACAAAATACGAGGTGGGAACAGTAAATATCTAATGTCCTGAGAACTTTAATTCTCAATATTTAAGCTAATTTTCAACAAAGCTCGTGTAGCAGATGGTTTTCTTGGTTATCTCTGAAGAGCTGAACAAAAAAGAAGTATAATTTCAATGTCAGGGGCTCATGGAAGAAAATGCTAATACTTCCAAATGATTTAAAACTTCCTGTTCCCACTTAATGAAAAGAAGATAAAAATCTTTGGGTTCCATGAGGTAAGAAATGAATTTCTGGAAGTGTGATGAATTTTAAGCATTTGAGTTGTGCTTTTTTTTTTAAAGATGCACTGTATAAATCTTTCACCACGGTACTGCAATACAAGTTGCTTAAAACTGTTAAATGTTCTTGGTATAATTCAGTTTTCTGTATGCAGTTTCTACCTGTGTATATTCCGTCAGAAGAAGAAAGAAGGAATCCAGTGTTATACGCCAATAACGTCAGACGTGTAATGGCAGAGTAAGTATGTTGTAATATGCAATAAAAACAGATGGATGATTTAATTTTACTATCAAAGAAATGTGTTAAATCAAGTCAGTGTTTTTGCCTGCTAGCAAAGCAGTTTGAAATCTTCCGTAGTGCATACAAAACTACATAGCACTCGCCTTCCTCAGTGAGGAAGGCAGGGAGGCACAAACACGGCAGCAACTGTAGGGGTTGCTTTTTTTTTTTTTTTTTTTTAACGCCTTTATATAACAATCCAATACTTTCGCTGCTGTGGGTGTGAAAGTCCTCTGGGGAGGAAGGTACGGTTGAATCATATGAAAGCTAATGTAACTGAATTGTGTGCTATTGAGGTTGCATTTTCAGCGATGACTTTTTAATGGAGTTAAGAATAGTTCCATGTATTCGTTGTTTACCCGTGGTTATTTCAAATAGTAAAGCATAGGAAAGCTGCTGCTGTTTTAGAAATAGAACACTGATGCAACACAAACAACTACTGATACACGCTTCAGTTCATCTCCTGCAACAGATTAGGTTTGCAAGAAGACTTTTGTATTTTTGTTTTGCTTGAACTGACTTGCTGGCTTTGGAATTCCATGTTGGGTGGTGATATAAAAGGTAAATGCCCAGCATTTCAAGGAAGGCAAGGGTGAAAAAAGTCTTAAGGTATGTCAAGTAGACACGCACATCTGGCCACATAAAATAGCTGAACATTGAAGAGAGCAAGCTCAGGTTAACGAACTGTGGAAGTAGAGGTAGTATGAAGAAAAGAGGGGGGAAGAAAAATGCTTCCAGGTGAAGGCATGGGAAAAGCTGCTACATTCCTAGTTTATAAAAAAAACATGGTGCAGTTGCAATCTGCATCTCAAATTGAAATAACCTTTCTTTTCCTAGAAGTTGAATTGAAGTAGAGAGAGCTCGATGGAGACAAGTTGAAATAGTTCTGTAGAAAACCCTGTGAGTTACAGTTGCATCCAAGGTTTTTACATTGTATGCCTGTCTATTCTAAGAAACTGGAAAAATTGCAAGTTGTAGCAGAAATAATGAACTCTGTATATTCCCCAGCTTCAGCTTCAGTGTTCTGAGCTGAAATCAAGGTCTTCTGGTATTAAAATGTTAGCCCTATACAGCTTGTGATTTATCTTCTGAACTCAGGAGCCCCTTGAACTCTAATTTTATCTGGCCTTGGCTGATCCTACAACTGAACTTAACTCTGAACAAAAGTTGCTTCATCTTCCTTGCTTCTGATTTTTGTAATTCTAAAAGTCTGGATGTATGTATAAACATACGATTTTGGTTCGTTTCGCTTTTTCTGGAGGTGCGAAGGCTGGAAAACTGCCAACAGGTGAGCAAGAGAAGGTGCTTTGTCCTTCTCAAGCCTGTTGTGTCTGTGTTGATGATGCAGGCGTTAGCTGTAGTAGCAATTTTCCTGTACTGATAGCACTGAGTCTGGTTGAAATGCTGCCCCTTATGTAAGGGGGGCACACAGCTGTTTATTAAAAGAGCAGGTCATACTTTTTTGGTTGTTTTTTTGTTTTAGAACTTGTTCTGTCATAAGATTTTTGTTCCCCTTTCAAAAGGCTTCTTCTAGGGACCATTATTTAGGGGTTGGTATTTAAATCTGGCATTGGTCTTGAGATGCCAGTATGGCAGGCCGTTACCTACCATGGAGTTTGAATAGCCTGATCTTTCTTAGTCATCTTCCTTTTGAGGTATTTGAAAAGCTTCCAGCATTTATTTTTACAATTTATTGTTTCTTGCTTTGGCTTGCCAGCTTATGATTGTTTTAACTTGTCTGTCATCTTCTGTTTTCCTTGAAATTTTCTTAAGAAAAAAAAATCCTTCCAATTGCCACCTTTAATCTGTTGCTTAGTCATATTGGACTTTTTTTGTCCTAACAACTTTTTTTTATATTTTTTTATCCTGATCCCTAATATGATGTCTCATTCTGTACCACAAATGAACGTTTACCCTTTCAATTTCTTCTTTTAGCTTATTTTTAACTAGCTTCTCTTTTTCTGTGCCTTTTCCCCACACTTCTGCTGTAAGTTCCCATATTTCTGTTGCATGCTACACCTACTGTTGCCTTTAAGATCTAATTAAATTTTGTGTAATGTGCTTGACTGGACGTGACCTTAGTGATTACCACATTCCTTTAGGTAAGCCACTCTGGGTAGTACTCCTTGTGGGTTATATTGTATTCTTCCAGCCCTGGAATTCATCTGTTTACCTGCCTGATCTTTGACAGGGAAGTTTTTAACAAGATGATCTGGAGCACACACAGTACGAAAGTAGGGAATAGGAAGTAACCTAAACTGGCACAATAAACACTCCTTCTTTCTTCTTCCAAAGAAAATTAATTTAATGTTGTGTAATACTAGTGCCTCTTCTATACACCTGTATCTTTTTGGTTTAGCTGGCTGCTTCTTTTTGTTCCCTTCCCATTTGTTGTTTTTTTTTTTTGTGCAAGGGTGAGGCCATTCATCCAGAAACACTACAGTGTATGTCCTGTTTATTCTTAAGTAGCTTATAAATAATATCTAACAGACTTTGTACTTTTGAGCTTGAATATCAGTGAGATGTTTTTAATGAGTATATGACTTTCTTATCCTTAGAAGAGAGAATCCCCTATCAGTAGCTTTATTATTAAGTGCATATCTCACTACTATATTAGAATTGCTGAAGTTAAGCAGTGGATAAAAGATCTGGCTCGTGTACCTTACGCTGGCATTCAAAGGCCTTTTAAGAGGCTCTTAGGAAGAAGCTACTTAACAGAAACTAATTGGTTATTACATGAAACTACAATTACAGATCAAAATGGCTACAATAAGTGCAGCATTAGATGCAGAATCTTCATCACAGCCAAAATGACTGTGATATGTCTCAGGATTTTTTAACAGTCTTGCTATTGATGTATGTTAATTTAATAGACAAAAAAGGTGATTATTAATGAGGTAGAAAAACCTCCAGATGAAAGGAATGAAAGTTAGGAAATCCTGTGAGGACTTTATCAAACTAGAAAAGGCTGCACAGCAGAAATGGTGTTCTATATTACTACAAGTAAAATCGAGTATAATGGAAAATATGTCAGATGAGTAACTTGTATGAAACTGCTTTCTAAATTGCTTTTTACATTTGTACACTGAATTCTTCAAGGCTTCTTAAAAAACAGTCTTTCTCTAAACTTCAGTGCAGCAAATATAATGTAACTGCTTTATCAAGATTTCCTTGTGAGCTATCTTTGTTGCTATTTGTACCACACAGCGTCAAGTTTGGAAAAATAAAAATAAAAATGAATACTTAATTGTTTGGTGTGCGAACACTTAGGAGTATTTTTTTCTTCCACCTATTGCATATGTTTAAATGTGTCATGTTTGCTTAGCGTTTACTTGTTATTTTAAGTTCTATCCATTCTTTATGGAGTACTCTTAAAAATATTGCCTGTTGTATAATTTTAATGTCTGAAGGTAACAGTTCTGTTCAGGTGATGATTGATTTATTAATGTTAATGCAATAACAGTATAAAAATTTCACATTAAAACTTGAAAAATACATAATTATGGATGAATAACATGAAAATTATTTTTGTTACTTCTCTGAAAGTATTAAAGACTTTTTTTTTTGCCTTGTTCTTTTACATTTTCATGTACTTATGAAGTCAGGATATATGTTCTGTAGTGGGTTCATAGTGTACAATACTTCATTCTTTGTATATGAACCTTCTCTTATGGGGTTTCCCTTATTTCTTCAGAGAGGAGAAGAGTTGTTGCAGGATTTCTTGCAGTACAAAACAAAATAATGAACATTCTGCTCAGTTTTCATAGGTTAACTTGCTTCCTGTGTTTCTCTGGTTTATTCAAGGGCATTGGGAGTTTCAGTGACAGACTATACATTTGAAGACTGTCAGCTAGCCTTGGCTGAAGGACAACTTCGTCTGCCTTCAGACACGTGTCTTTTAGAATTTGCAAAGCTTGTGAGAAGCCTTGGGTGAGCATATACAATATTTATACATAAGGTGCATCTTTATTATATATCTATGTATGGTTTTTCTTCATATAATAATATTACATTTATGAGTACATATGGAATGTAGTCATACTGTAGTCAGGGAAACTAATATAAAGATTAAACCAATACTGTATTAGAATCAAATGTCTCAAAGCCAACTTCAGATGTCAAGACAATTACTTAAACCATCAGGGAAAAAAGAGCAGCCCTAGATGCCTTTAAAATTATTTCCTCATCTTTTTTTTTGTTTGTTTTTGTTTTTTGTTTGTTTGTTTTTTTGTTTCTCTTCATGCATTGGGGAATCAAGCCTTCTCTTTTGCAGAAAAGGATGGATAACCTTTTTCTGGTCATCTGAGCAGGAAAACTATATAATTATTGTTTACTGCATACTTGCAAGGGCTTTAAGCCTTTCCCCCTGACTGGGGAAGCTGTTTTATGCATAAACAAGGGCTCACATTCTTTTCTGCCCTTAAGATGAGAATGGAAACACGTTTTGAAAGGCGTTTCTCTGTGCACAGAGAAATACAGGATTTTTTCTACTTGCAAGCAATACCCCTAGACCCAAATATGTGGAATAAGTTGTAAAATTTATATAATTTTTTTTTTCAGTCTAACAAGTGAGCAGTGTGTATATATAGAGTTCGTTCCTGTACAAAAGTGGAAGACCCCTCTCAGGGAGGGTCAGGAATACTGTGGGGCTTGTAACATTTGATACAGCTAAGGGTCAATTACCCTTTCCCCATGCCATCTATGAAGGAGAACAGTGCTGGCATAGCACAGTCTTGTGACTGGGTAGTGTTGTAATAGAGAGGGCAGAGAGGTCACTGTTTCCCAGGAAGCACAAAGAAGTGGCTGGTCTTTTGAGTGGGTTACTGCTAGATGTACTTTCTAATGAAACTGTAGCTTCTTTTAAGCAGTATGTCTCATCTCTTCTCTCCTCTTATGACATCAGTTCCCTCTGGCTCTACCTCACCAAAAAGCTTCAGCAAACAGTGGGGGGGGGGGGAAAAAAAAACACATACATAAACCACATAGAACTTATTGCTGTTTTTAGCTTTTCTTCTGTGTTTCTCTTCTCATCCTATTAAACAACCACAAACTAAACTTACATTTTCAGCCTATTAACTACTTAATATATAAATACCCTTTTCCTTTTGTGTCTCTTTACCTGCAAGTATGGAGCATAGTTTTAATGTTTCAATGCCATACTTTATTTTATTTCACTTTTTTTCCTTCATCTTCCAGCTTGTGTACATAAATGGAAATAAAAAGGAGGCAAGGATGCATTAGAGAAAAAGGAATGTAGAACAGCACTTCCAGTAGGATGATAGAGACTTCTAGAGGTAGATGAACCAGATAGATTCTTGCTTCATTTTTCCAAAACCTCTTGAATTTACAACACATACACACACAAAACACACAACACTCCTACAACATATTAAAAAAAAAAAAAAAGCCTCGTTCTTATGATGCAGTTGATAATCCCAGGATTCAGTTTAATCTCCTTGTAACATTCACTGGCTTCTGTCTGCTGAATTTAAAGCTGTGTTTTTAAATTACAGTTCTTGATATCTTTGCTTTCACCTCTGATATCTTTGCTTTCACCTCTAAAATCATTTATGTATATTTGTAAGTGAGGTTCCCCACAACCCAAAAGTTTTGTCTGGTTTGAGCAATTGCACATTGGTGAACTATCATCCTGTCTTGATTTGTGTACATGCCAGCAAAGAAGGCTATTACCATGGTATTTTTCTGGCACAATTGGATGAAGCTTGTAATGTGATTTCACCTCTAATGCATGATTGATGGAAATGCAGTCATTTGCTGCTTATTGAAAGGCTTTGAGGCCAGCATGGCATTAAGATCATCTAGTCATATCCCTGAATAACTCAAACAGTAAATTTTATCAAATGGATTTTGCTTCCAGTCTTTAATACTTGCTTTTGAGCAAGAACATACCTTCTAGGTAACACCCACTTTTAAATGCAAGACTTTTATAAGGCAAATTCAGACTTGCTTTTCCTCTGTTTTCTTTGAAGTCAAGTTATATCTCTGTTTGCTACACTGGAGAACTGTTTCTGTTCCTATGATGTATCTACAGGATTCATTACCATTTACACGTCTGTAAAATTTGCTCACCCTGTACTCCATTTGGGGCATCCAATTGCAATCCAGAAGCCATGTAGCCACAGCAGCTAGGAAAGAGTTTGTTTTCAACTAGCTTTAAGGAGGGTAAGATGTTTCACTCACTAAGAACAGTGGTAATTCTGCTGAAAGTATCCTACCAGCAGGGATCTGGTTTTCCCGTCAAGTCTGCTGTGAAGGATTAAATGTTCAGAGCTGTTCATCCTGAAAAATAGCCTTTCCATCTTTAGGGATTGGTTTACAAAATCAAGCAAAACGCCACAGTAGCAAACAGTGTTATGTCCCATATAGCCTTGATGCTGCACTGAAGCCATTAGGCAAACAAACGTGATTTCATGGGCAGAGGCAGCCACTACTGGCCTTCCAGCTTTTATAGCCTCCACTGGGATGAAAGTAACAATTGTAAAGAAATTGAGACATTCAAACCTTTTCATATTGGTTTTGAACTGCAGCCTGTTGTGGGATTTGGAATACTTGGCTTCAAAAGACTTCAGCATTGTATGTCGTGGTCATCCACACACCAGTTACTTTCTGATTCTGATGGGGCTAGAGGGAAGTGAACCCCCCTTGGATTCCAGCTAAGTACAGTGCATTCAGACTCAAGCTGAAGCAAAATGGTCAACTCACTGATCCACATACTGGTTTTGAGATCGTCTTGCATCTTTTTCTATATTTATAATCCAAAACCACAAGATGTCTGTAAGATTTGTGTTAACTTATGTCTGTTTTCGATACAAACTTTTGCCCGTCAAACTTTTAGCTTTTCAGAATACTTAGCTAGATGTTTGGTGAAGACTTGACCCCATCCAGCCTCAAATACTAGTCACCAAACAAGTGCTTACTCAGTTCTAGAAAGTGAATTTTGAGTCACTGTATTCCAAATCAAATCTCTCTGGTTTAGAGACAGATGCTAGATTGCATATTCCGTGTCAGTGCTGGCTTATCTCAAGGGAGTATTCAAATGCCAGCTGGCCTCATCCTACAGTTAAAATCCATTTCAGCTCCTACAGGGAGGATCTATCATCTGTGGACTGGTTTTACATGTAATGCTGCATGTTAGAAGCTGAGTGCAGTGTGCATCTCAAGCCTTCCATGGATTCCTTTGTGCCTGCTCCTTTTTTTTTTTACTACATCATGGAAAACAAATGTTGCAGGGGAGTGTTTCACTGCTCTTTTTATACTTCGTAGGACCGAAACTTATGGCAGGTGCTTTCCTGCCAGGAGGGCGAACATATGAATGTTCTGTAGGGTATGCGGTCTGTGAAAGAACTCGTACATACTTGGGTCTTATACTTCAGAAATACAGTGCTTGGAGTTGTTTAGTCCTTTATTGGCAGGTTAAGATAGCTAATGGCAGATAGCATTGTAATTGTGTTTTTATTTAAGAGTAATTTTTGGGAAGGGTTGTTCAGTCATTTCAGCTAGAAGTTGAGGTCTGGAGCTTAAGTATAGGATAATCTTCCTACCATGAGAGCTTTTTTTTTTTTTTTTTTTTTAAGCCTTTGAGTATGTTGTTATTAATTAAATATTTGATTAAAGTCTCCTCACTGAGAGAAAGCTGCTGAGGAGGTCCAGCTGCAGTCTGGAGGCAATTCTGTTGTGAGCTTGTGGGTTTTGTAAATAACTGCTTGCCCTTGTCTGCAGCAGCAAACAGCAAAACAGATAACTGCAGAAGAATACTGTAGAAGATGTTACTGGCTCCTTTTGTCTTCAGACTGAAAAATTTGGGTGCCTACCATTACCTTAAACCAGTTCAGAATAAATCTACTGGTCAAGATTTGATTTGTTTTACTAGGGAGAGTGTTTACTTTACCCCACATACCTGCAGCACCATTTATGTTTAGTATATTCATAGCAAAATTTATTTTTACAAAACAAAAACAGGAAGCTTGACTTAGCAGAAAAAAACACCATGCGGCAGATATCTGCATTAGTATAAACCCGTTCCATCGTCCTTCTGGTTTTGTAATCAGAAGGAACGAGGTAATTTTTCTAGCTGTATTAACAGCTGTAGCCTTGTTTGATGGGTAGCCTCGTCATGGTGTCTAACTAAAGACTGAATGTGAAAAATAAGAACTGACAAGCAGGATTAGCAGTATAATCGCTATTATGTAATCCCTGATTTCTTTTAGATGAGATGCATCAGGTCTTTCCTGTTCAGTGATATTAGTAAATTTGGAATCGTAATTGGTTTATGTTACTGTCCTGCAGCACAGCTGTGTTCAGGTGACCTAAATCCTGCCTAGCTCTCCATGCCTGGCATTTCTTACTGGCTAATTCTAAGTTCATGTTTCTTGTACATGTTGGAATGCTCATCTGTCTTATAGCCAAGATAGAGGACACAAGTTTATGACCAGGGTTCCTGAAGCTTACCAGTAATTTCTAACGTATTTCAGGAACTAAAGGGAGCCTTAAAATGATAGGAATCCTGTACTTATTTTTGCAATAAAGCAGTTTCATAACACTGATTCTGTATTTTGTTGTATTTTACAGTATTATTACTCATCGCTTCATTCACTGTATTGATACTTGTCTTTTAAAACTAGATTTATTTTTAAAATGTGCAAAAATAATGTGCTTTCTAGGCTGAAACCAGAAACACTTGAAGATGATCTTGATAAATATGCTACAAGTGCCATGAAAATGAAAGAACAGAAGGTTGCTCTTAGGGAATTTTCAGCATATTTGGAATTTCCAGTTTCCCACACGTTAGAAAGTATGTTTGCCCTTTTTGATGAGGTAAGAAACAATATCATGTTTACAAATTGTACTACTTGTGATAAGCTCTGCTCTAGCCTGATTTGCCTCCTGTTGAATTCATGGAGGTCTGATTTGGGCCAGTGTTAAGTGCTTTTGAGCTCTTCACTGCAGTATTTGCCTGCTATACCACAGTATTTGCCTACTGCATTTCCCTTTCTACATGTAAGGACATCCATCATCAACTAAATGAAGCAGTCATTCAGGTAGAAGGTAAAAAGCTTATCAGTTTCACAAAACTCATTTTGTTTCTAGACGCAAAATATAAAGAGGAAGGAAGGTAGGCTCAGGCCAAACTATTACTACTGCTTGTCGCAACTGAACGTGGTGTACATTAGCTACAAACTTAACACTTGGCTTGTACATAAATTATTCTTCTAGGATACCCGAAGCAAACCTTGAAGGACCTAGGAACATAGTAAATAAGCCAGTTTTTCTATCCTCTGGCAATCAGACAGGATGGGGAAATTACCATTAACTTTGTCTTGATGAGATGGTATTTGAACCTTGAACCAGGAGGTGTATACGTTCATAGTGCTCTCTCCTAGACCAGAGAGGAGATTAAAATGTCATGTGTTCAGGGCTTAAATCAGAGTAGTTTGACCTCTGGTTCTCTAATTTTAATTTCAGCCTATTAAGTCAGATGATTTAATGTAAAAATCTTACATATGCAAGTAAAGGCTCACAATAGCAGCACTGTCTTTGAAGAATCTCTGAATTAGGAATTCTGGCTGGGACTCTGAAAAGGGCCTACAGAGCTTTTGCAACCCTAGTTCTCTCACTGATGTAATTCCATTTCAGTGAGACTTTTTTTTGCATATGCAGTGCTCTTTCTGAATATTCTGCGTATTAGTTGTTAGCTGTTAGATATTTTGAATGCTCTGAGGCAAACTGCAGTATTCAGAGGTGAGGTTTTCCTTCACAGAATGAAGATGGCGTAATTGACGTTCGGGAATTTGTCATTGCTCTGTCAGTTGTCTGTAAGCCATCCAAAACTCTGGAAACAATTCAGCTGGCATTTCAGGTAAGCAGAGTTTTCTTCCTTTATATCATTTATTTAAATTTTGTGGGTGTTTTTAGAGATAATTAATATTGTCAATTAGATTTAACAGAAGCTTGTTTCACATGCCTTTTTGATACTTAATTACATTAAGATAACATCAGTGAAATGTTAGATTAGGAGATCATGTTCGGAGAGGAAAAAATGCATCATTTTGCATGACAAACTTGGAATATTGTAAAGTGAAGTTGTTCTGTGGAGTTCTTATAAAATCTTTCAATACATGAAGTCTGTGCCTTTGTATTGATTACTGTGGACGGAAGGACAATGAGTTGTGCTTGCTGCTTGTAAAATATTTCACCAAAATCTTTTTTTGCCAAATTAAAAAAAAAAAAAATAAGTAAAAATTTTCATTTCTACATGTTAACACAGATGACTTTTTCCTCCTTTATTTTGTTGAAAATATTTATTCTTCCCTCTTGCAGTGTCTTTTTTTTAGTCCTGCAGTCTCTGCCCAGATTATATACTTCCCATAGGTGCTCCTGATCTTGTTCTAGACTCAGTGGTTTGTTGCAGTATCAACATAGGTAGTTATTACACACCTTTTGGAAAACTGACAGCAGCAATGCTTGAAGTTAGCCTTTCCAGTAGGTTTGTCTGACACCTTAATTTGGTACTTGTAGCTAATTTCTTTTCATATTGCTATTTCAAGCTGTGCTGCAGCTTACATCATCATTTCCTATTGCCTTGAACTCATAGGGTCTTGTGTCTTTTTAGTGCTACTGAAAACTGAGAATGTTAACACTCGATGGTGTCATCACAGATGAATGCATGGACTTGAGAACTTTGAGTTGTATGGTACTACATGGGAGCCTTATTTTCTGGGCGTAGCTGTTATCAGGTTCTTCAGCAAGTTTATACTATTCTCAACTATATTTGCTAAAGAAATGAGGCTCCTGTGAATGCTTAGTGTTCAGATCTATCATTCTCGCCCTTCGGCCACTGTCAAACAAATCTGACAGAGGAGGGAGAAACAAAAATATTTAGTCCCTACAATTTCTGTGGAAAATCAGCTGCTGATGGAGAGGTTAACTTGCATGTGAGGGAAAACCCAGAGAGGTTTCTGCCCTTGTTTATTCCATTTAATCAAAGTAATGCAACAAATGATAACATGGTGTTTATCTCTGTCTCATCTGAAAATTAACAATCCTAAAGTAGACTTGAATGTGGTTTTGGGGCAGTATTTTAGTGAAATTTCACTTTCATGATGCAAAATGTGCAACGTACTTCCTCAGTTTGAGGAAGAAAAGACCACAGACTAGGTGATTTCTTTTTGGAAGCACCTAACTTCAAGTTAATTGATCCGTTTCTTAAATAAGTTCTTCTCTATCTGCAGTGGTCTTGGAAACTCATAACCAGGGAACTTTGTATTTTGCAATTAATATATAATTTTAACTTAACTGCAGAATTTCTACATGTTTATTAAGAAAATGAAGCATTCAGCAAGGAGAAGCAGGTATAGCTCACTATATCCTTCTAGTGATGATAAGAAGGTTAAAAAAAAAAAAAAAAGTATTGAGCTGAGGAAAAATTGCTGACCACTATTCTAGGGAGAAAAAAACAACCGTGAAGTGATTTTTTTCTAATCATTTCTGCCTGGTTTCCTGGGATCATGTATATTAAGATATTCACACAGCTTACTGTTAGTCATCAAAAGATCTAGCTAGCTCATGAATGCATGACTTTGAATAGTTGCTGTCCTCTGCCGCATGCTGCTACTTGCAAACCACCATGTCATTTGTTTTTAGGGATAATGTGCAGTATTTCACATAGCTGAACAAGTTTTTGAAGTGGGAGTGTTTAGTTATGGCTGAAGAACTTGAAAAATAGGCTTACTGAGCCACCAGAGATCTAAAGTGGTGGGTAATTAGAAGCAGAAGTGGGGATTATGTCAACCGGTTCCAGAAGCAGCACTCCAGTGTATGTGCTAGGCAGCCTCCTTTTCTAATCGCTGAGGAAGTGAAAGGCTGTGGCAAATCTTGCCAACGTGATGCTTGTGAGCATTACCACCAAGTATCACCTTCTGAGTATTTGATCTGTGAGAATATAGCAGGTTTTAATAAACAAGTGTCTTGTCCTTGCCCCTACTTAAGAAACAGCATGCAAGTTGCGTGCTCGGGAACAAAATTCAGGAGTCCTGAATTGAGCATAAATTGAATTCTTTCCATAGAATTTTAGTTTTGCATTCCACTGACTTTTTTTATTCCATCGAGGTGTGTTGTCTGTGACAGTAACTTCTGCTTCCGTGAAAATCACTTCCTTATGTGTCTGTTTTGTTCATTCTCATCAGTTCCCACCTTAATGCTGTAGAGAAACTAAAAGAAAGTTTCCAAAGTAGCTTGTTTTTAAAAATATGAAAATATTTGTAGCCATGTCATGCATTAGACTTAGACAATGATATTTCAAAAACTCTTTTGTTTCAGTTTCTATTGAACTGGAATTAGTTATTTTAGAAAATGTAATGAAGTTTGTTACAGATGTTATGGAATACTCAAGTTCTTTTGGCAGGGGAAAGCACTGCACATATACAAAGATAGAATGAGTATATGAACGATTATTTTTAGTTATCTATTATCTGTCAGTAAAGCTAAGTTTTTGTCTATGAGCAAATTCTTTTCTTCAGGACTTGAAAAGAAGCAAATTACAGTTTTCTAGAAAATGGAGGAAGTATTTGTAGAAAATTATAGGTTCATCACTGTTTAGAGTGGGATTCTTCTGATTAATACATCTTCTATCTAATAATTGAGATGCAGGAATCTATAAGCAAGCTGGCTGTCCAATCAGATGGACATTGGTCTAGCCAATCTTGAGTTTTATATCTGACCAAGTGGGAAATTATTTCTGCTTAGGCCAACCTAAATGTATGTCCTGATTCCACAGGCTCTGAGAGTTTGGACATCTAGCTAAATAGACTAATACTTATGTAGTTACATATCTGCAAAACACTGTTGTTTCAGAGATAAGACAGTTTAACAGCATCACTGAAATTCCAGTGTTCGGGCATGTAAATGCACGGAGTTTTTCTGGATATAGCAAGCTTTACTGTGTAAGTGTACACAGGTGAACTAATAATCAATGCTGTCTTCTACCCAGACTACTCAGTAATCCTCATCATCAATCTGAGAGTGACTAGATTTTCTCAAGCCAAACTTTAATTTTGTATAACTTATTAATGTGGGGCTGTTCATAGGAGTTAGTATTCAGCTCTGGAATGATTTGTCTTGCTGTCATGTTTTACAGCTATACCAGTCAAAAAATGGAACTATAACAGAAGAAGACTTAGCTCATATTCTGAAGACTGCCATGGGTGTGTCACAGATTAATGTTACACATCTTTTTAGAGCTGTAGATGAAGAAGAGAAAGGAAAGATTACATACGGTAAGTATTTTAAGTGAATCTGAACTGTCACAATATCAAAGAAGACTAAACTCCTGTTGATATACAAGCCAGTTATATTTTTCTTAGACTTGTCTTTTTAGTGGGCTTGGTTTTATAATGAAAAAAACATTGCAGACAAAGTAAACTTAGATTAAAAAATAATAATAAAGTTTCACCTTTTAATGTCAAATGTCATGTGTGTTTCCAGTGTTTCCTTTCTGCATTATCAGATGATACCTAGACTGACTTTTCCAGTATATTCTGTTCTCTGGCTTCCATGCATGTGAATGTATATTTTTAAGAAAGCAGCCTTATCTCTGTCGTCTGGATTTGTCTCTTGTATCTGTTCCTCACTATATCTGTCCTCCCAGAATACGGGATAATATAAGATTTTATACCTCAATAATTTCTCAGCCTGTTTGAAAGTTAGTTGGGGGGGGGAGGGGAGGGTATTGAAAAGGCTGCTTGATATATAGTCTGTAATGCAGGTGATATGGAGGCGAGAAAATTGCATTAGAAAAACTGAGGTATCTGGGTGATTAGATTATGCTGGGAATCAAAGTACTTGTGCATTACTTCAGATTCTTCATCTTTTATGCAGTAAAGTTCTAAATTTAGTTGTATTATTTAAAGTATGAACTGAGTTGTTGATAGCCAATGTAGCACGTACCCCAAATTGAAGTGCTTCTGACATGCTCCTGTTCTTGTGGTTTTCCATCAGGATAATTCATAGGCATTTAAGTATTAAAAAATGTTAATTTAAAACATCAATGTTAGTAAATCACGATTTCTACACTAGTATTTCCTGATCAAACAGTATTTATGTAATGCCTCAGCTACAGCACAATTTTAGACTCATCAAAATGAGTATCATTGCACCATCCTCCTGTTTTACCCTCTTATCATTTGCCTCCTTGATTCCTGCTCTACTGCCCATTTCCTTTCTGTACTTCTCATCTGCCATATTCTATTCTGATCCCTTTTGCTCCTATCTGGCACTCCTTGTTGTCTCCCAGCTCATTAGAGTGGTGACTCAACTCTTTTTTCCCCCCTATCACCAGTTTCAAAAATACCAGCAGAGAATCTAAGCTGATCTCTAATTTTGGCACATCTCATTGTTTGAGGGAAACTAATTTAAAATAGTATGCTAGTGAACTGAAACCAGCTCATGTGAGTTACCCAAGAATTCCTACTTAGTATTTATCTTTAATAGCACCAAGTTGCACTTATATCTGCAATGTCCCCTGTCTGGTATTAGTATGTTCACACCACAATGAAACCTGGACAGCTGAGCCACAATGTTTAGCTCTTGCTTTCTCTGTTTTTACTCTTATATTATTTTTTTATTTTATTTTATTTTTTTTTGCATTCAAAAGTAGTCTGTGTGACTACATGAAGTAGGATGTTGGTTACATCACTTGAAATTCTGCTTCTGGATTCTGGATCTTTTTCTGAGGAAAATTGCTAAGAAACAGTGCACAGAGATTTTAACGTATCTGAAAGCATAATCATTAGTAAGAATAAATGTCCAATTTGTTGTGGTAAAGAACTGAAAGATGAAGGTAAACTTCTAGTATTGCACTTCTGTCTTGAAAGTTGTTTGCAATAAATATTTGATGTCTTGCATTGCCTTTGAATGTGAGTAACTTTTCGCATGCTCAATTTGTTGCAACAGAATAGTGAAGAAGAAGAGGCAGGAAACTTGCAAATTTTACCTTTTCTGAAGTCATTATCCAGACAAGTTCTGAGAAAGAAAACATTTTTATCCTGTGGAAGAGCATGAGGGGTAGGTGGGGGGGAGTGGAACTATAGAGGTTGAACATAGAGCTTCCATCAGGAGCATCAAGTAGTGGGAGGGTATCGTAAAGGCAGGAGAAAAGCCTTTTGATTTGAAGTTCCTGTAGTTCATATGTAGATTTAATTCTTGTTAATAAAGTTAGCAGTATCAATGAACTCTGCTCTGGGTTCTTTTACCCCTTTCTTTGTTTCTTTCCTCTTATAGTGAGAATAGAAAACAAAATGACATTTTCCCCAAGCAAATGACTGAAGTTAACATCTTCTAGTCCTCTTCACTGGTTGCTTTAAGCTTGAACTCCAAAATCAGACCTGTGATTAGAAATAATGCTGGAGTGGGTCATTATTTCTACATTACCTTGTCTCCTGTTTCTGGGGTGTGAGGCAAATAGGATCCCAAAAGCTCTTTATTGGCTTCTGCTGTGAAAAAGTTTGTAAATATTCTTAAATATCTTCAGGACTTATTCCAGCAAGACCCAGAACATTTACATACTCAAGTCTATCAGAAACGTTATCTTGTTCAATTCAGTCTTCCCTGGAATATGAATTTTTTTCATTTTGATCCAGAACTGACAGAACATTGAGGGATAAATCATGACAGAATTGTCAGGATTCTGGTTTGGGTATAGACTTGTGTCAACAAATGTTTCCATCATTTTCTGCATTAATTTTCTCAGAAGATGCAGTAGCTTTTTGAAGAATTGCTTAGAATGGCTTTAAAGTAAATACTCGAGTCTTACCCAAGCAAAAAGTGTTATGCTTCATATGATTGTAAGACCATCTCTGGTACTGTTGGTTGAATCTTTATACTTGTCTTACTTGAGCAGGGCTAACTGTCTGAATTACGTTTTCCTCAAAAAGGCTATTTTTTCATGGTCATTAATATGATGCATGTGTTGTTACAAATATGTATATTTCCATGGCATAGGCTTAAAGCTCCTATTTGAAAAAAGGGAATGCTTTTGTGTTCCTGCTGCAGGCCAGGCCCAGTTAAGGCTGGTGGCTTTCTCTTAGCTGCAGAAAAATAATGTACTCAGTTGGATTAACTAAATGTGCTGAAATGCTTTGAATCTGATGAATTGGTTTGCATGCAAGTGTTTCTGATGTGTTACTGCAACTACTACCACTGTTAAATTTTCTGAATGTAAAAATGGTTCTGTTTCCTTCTTGGGAAATGTCAGATATCAGACTCTTTGATTTTTAAAAAAGTAGCCAAGTTGAACTTGCATTGAAAATATTATCAAAGGAAAAAAATCTGCTTTGTGCTTTTTCAAGCATTTAAGATATTTTTTTTTCTTCCCAAAGACTTTGATGTCGTTTGTGATATAACAGCCTGTGCTGTAAATATAGGTCTTTTGACATAAATGATAGTGTTGGTTTTGTTGCTCTGAATATCATCAGCTTTTGTTGAAGTTACAGGATCTAAAACGCTTTATCCATATAAATTGTGGATAAAAGCTGTAACTTCACCCTTCTGCAAACAAAAGTATGTTTTTTGCATTCTCCCCACCTACCCTTTTGCAACAGGACAGAGGCAGTGTTGCCCTACAACTCCAGTGCCCCTTTGGGCCAAGTGGCATTCCTCTGCTCTTCCTAATGTTGAAAGAGTGTGCCCTCTCAAACAGAGAAGGGTGATAGAGAGGGAAAGCTGTGGTGTTTTTTCTTCCACGCCAGCCCCTTTGTACCAGAAGGACATGGGCTTTGCTCCTCTGGAAGGTCACTTCAGCTGTCATCTGCACTGCACGCCAGGGAGCTCACACACAGTGTTGACTGGTCACGAGTTCTTCCAGGATAACACGGTGAGCTGGAGTGGGCAGTGTGCCACATACTGTAGGTGACAGGAAGGGTTAGTGACAACGTTCACATCTGGCTTCTTCCAGTGTCAGTCTGCATTGCAAAGCAGCTTCTGACGACTTGGTTCCTGTGCAGTACCTTGTGTATAAATCGGGTCCAAATAAACAGTTATAGGGGCAGCATTGTGACAGGGCTTCATTGCTGGGTATTTAATACAGAAGTTTCCTGATCTTAAGAAATCCACTCTCCTCCAAGAACAAGGGAATCTTGCCCTTTCTGTTGCTTTGTAGGTAAACAACATTAAAATCATTTTTTTTCAGAATGCTACAAAATCACAGATGTTTAATTAAGTGAGCAAGTCAGTTACCTTCTCACGCTATCATTCTCTGAAATATCAGGAGTTTGGAATGCTGAAATCTTGAAAGTGGAAGGCAGCAGTGACAAAGAGCTGCTTTTAGGTTGAAGAGAATTATCAGCAGAAAGCACTGAGGAGCATATTTGCCAAAAGACTGCAGATTTTATGAAGTGACTGCTCTTGCTGTTCATTGTTCCTCATCTAGAGGGCTTCTGCCTTTCCCCAGCGAATGGCAAGCTGTGATGTCTGGGCGCGTGGTACTCCCCATGCATTTTAATTCAAGTCTGAGCCTGTTTACCCCTACGCCATGCAAGCTAAGGTCTGCTCTGAAACATTTTAAGAGGGCTTCGATAACCCTTTGTGGCATCTCAGTTCTGGGGATGTGGTAAACTTCAGAGAAGCTAAAACAAGCTATGGGGATAGCGCTATGTTAACTGCTGCTATTTTCTCCAGAGTCATCATGTGATTATACCCTGCATGTATTCAAATTTAGCATCCTTCTATTTCAAAGAGCTGATTCTGTGTAACAGCATTTTTTTTTTTCAGATGACTTCTACAGATTTGCTGAATTGCACCCCCACTTTGCAGAAGACTATCTCTATCCTGATCAGATGGGAGCTGAGCATGGTTTGGAGACTTCATCTCTTTCTGCTCCTAATGGTATCTGTACTGACTTCAGCCCTGAAAACGCTGAAGATAAAAACAAGCCCCTGCAGAAGAAACTGAATTAACACTACAACTGTAAACTTCCTCTCCTGGTGAGAGGATTCTCTTTTCTTGGGATTTTCATAAGTCACTCCAATTACACAGCAAATACCAGTTTTGTGTGTGAAAGTTCTTCTACTTCAATACCATTCTTTGATTCATACGTGCTATATTTAACAATATGTTCCAGGTTACTTTGGGGGAAGGTGTTTTTATTTTTTTTTTTCCAAAAGGTCTTTGAAAGGCAAAAAATGTGAATGTGCTTCATTATTAATGTTCATATTTAAAAGGAAGCGGCACACTTATTTATATTCCACTGGCTAGTTTCATGTACCAAGTGTCGCACACATTGCGCATGTATAAAGAAACTGTAGCTACTATGGTGTTAAGTGCACTTTGGTGATTAGTGTTTTCCCTAGTTATGGGGATGTTTATATGGGGCCAAATTTTGCTGCTCATATTTGTGTAGTCAGTTTTGTTGATTTCAGTGGGATTATTCCCTTGAGCAAGGCAAGCATATTTTGGCCCTTTTGTTTTGGTTTCAGTGAACAGTTTGGAAACAGTCATGCAAAAACTTGCTAAGGATTATTTTTTATTGTTGAATGACAAAATTGTTTCTCTTTCAGTCTATTCCATGGTAGAATGAAAAGGAAAAACTCCTTGTCCCTTACCCCAACACTTTTATATTTTCATCTTCCAAATGCGACTAAACGTGACTTTTTTTTTCAAACTGACATGCCACATACTGTTTGCAAGCACGTGACAAAACTGCTTTTCTGTTACAATCAGTTCAAATCATGTCCACCTGCCATTTATATGGAGATGTTTACAAAATTGTTTTATCAGGAATCACGGTTTCTCTTGTAGCAAGCCTGTATACACAGATAACTTAGCATGGAACACACTATAAAAACTTGGTTGTATCAATGCAAATTTGAAAAGGCTGCAGTTACTTCAGAAGCCAAGCCAGCAAGAAGTTGCAGAACATCCTGAAGGAATGCTAGTTAAATCTCTATATCAACATTACATATACTGCGTATAACATACGAAGCTTAAAATAGTTTAGAACTATTTTAAAAATTTGAAGACGTTTCTATTCGGTAACATTTCTTACCTTTCCTTTTGTAAAGCCAGATGCCTTAAATTACCATTGAGGGTCTCAGAGAAAAATTGAAGTTACTCTAAACCCACAGACCTCTACTGATTAGGAAATGAGCCGAAGGCCTCATGGAATAGGAAGGAGAAGTGTGTTGCAAAACCACTGTGCTCAAATCAACTATGTTCAAATCATTTATGTGACTAAATCTGCAAGGCTGCAGCAGAATTACAAGGGTTTCCTAACTGGAGAACTGTCATTGAGATTTGAATCTTCTACTTGTTAATGTAAAACTAGATTTGAAAGGATGACATTTCAGCAGAAGGAAATCTGTTTATACCAAATGCTTTTGTTATTATTTTTAAATAGCAGGAGGTTTTTTAAGCTTATTAGGGTATTGGAACGTGTCCTTAGAAATCCTTAACTGTATATGGCAAGTCTCCAAACTGAAACTGGATTTAATATACAGTGGGTATGGGGAAACAAAATGTGAAAAATAATGCTTTCTGTGGGGTAGCAGAGGTACATCCTTATTTGGAGGTAGTAATTAAGTTTTTTATTTACCTAGATTTACCTAGCATGCCATGCTGACAGGGCTGCAGCACATAAGCAAACAAGATTTAAACTGATCATGAAAAATGGAAGACCTTGTTTGAAAATAAGGCATGTGAGAAACTACTCCTAGGTAAGAGTAGTCAGCTGCACAAACAGAGGGAGTGGGTGTAACTGCACAAAAGATCTTGGGGCAGAGATAGTATCAAGTATTGCTGCAGAAAAGATGTTCGTTATAGTGGGATGCATAAACACTTGTTGCCTGTGAGAAATGAGATGGTATTTCTGTGCTACTAAGGATTGATAAGGCTTTACCTAAAGTAGTTGTCTGTGTTGGGGCACTTGAGAAAGATGGGGAGTAGCTGGATAGAGTCTGGAGAAAAGAAAATATTTAGTAAAGAGGTTGAAAAAAATCTTTCATCCAGAGAAAGAGACAGAAGGAAGTTACGAAACCAGTTTTCAAGTGTGGGAACTGTCACTAGAGGGAAGATGGGAACTGTCTTTTCTCCATGCTGATGGTGGGGTGTCCCTTACAGACAGACGATGAAGACACTGATTTTATTGATCATAACCAACAGGATTGTAGGGATAGGTCTCCTGAGGTCTTTTTTCTGTGGTTAGGCAGGATGTATTTTAGTATGTAAGGGTAAGGTACGGTAACTGTTGTCTGAGCATATCACACCTCCTCTGCAAGACCTTCAACAACACTTGGCCCAAGCTGGCTGACTATTGAGATAGTTATCTTTTGCCTTGTATGTGAGCTTGGGAATTTGAGAATTTCAAAGTGCAGGGCTTGAGGTAGGGTTCCCTGAGACGTGTGTCTGAAGGGAAGAAAAGCTTTAATATCCCATGGACAACCTTGGTGTGGGAGAAGCTCCAGAGGAAGAAATTACTCGTTCCACATCTGTGGAAGAGCAAAGAAAGCTGATTGAAGTTGGCTAAATATAGCGTGCCTCCTTTCCATGTATGGTGCATATAGCCTGGGGATCTGTCACCTATAAGGCAAAGAGTTAATTTGGTTTCTTACTTGTTTCTGGTGAGTATTCTAATCAGGGTGAATGTAATAACTGCTCTTAGTGTGACTAAGCTCTTCAGTGTTGAGAAAGCCTGGTGAGTAGCATCTCGCCTGCTTGGTGAGCAAGCACTTTTGGTGGAAGCAACTAGTTTAAAAAGCATCCGGCTTCTGTAGTGACTTGCAGCATTCCCTTTTTTGTGAGATTGTTGATCTGGATAGAGAAATAGCGAAGTTCTGAGCAACCTGCATGAAAACACTGTTAGATCACAGATAATGGTGTGAACAGATAATAATTAAGACAGTCCAGGGGATTTCAATATTGTTAGTATATAAGGTTATCATACGAGACTGCCCTGTAGTGTCAGGTGGTAAACTCAGACTTTGTCGGGGGCTAAGACCTGTAGCACATGGCATTACTGCAAGAGCATTCATTGCAATTTGTCTATTGAACTCACTGAAATGTTTTACTAGTTCCATGTAAAAGGCATCCAACTGTGGAGCAGCTGGGTTGTGACACTCAGTGGCTTGCTGTACTGCAAGGACAAAAGTGAAAGCTTCCTTTCCCATTCACCAAACAATAACATAAAAATGCTTTCAGTTACACTATTACCAGCTTTACAAACCTTAAATTTACAAGGAAGACATAAATAAATGTCTTCAGTTCTTTACGACAATTTAATACGTGATCCTTACACACAAAATGCAGAGGTGTGAAGACATTTGACACTTGTCTGATGATCATTTTCCTGCTTTTGTGAAATGCTGCCATCCCTTGACGGCAGAGCGCTCACATCAGACTGGATTTCTATATATTGTATGAGAGAGATTCAGCCAAAGCTTTGTTATTCCGATGTGATTGAACAAGTAGCTGTGTGTTTTGAATGTATTTAACACAAAACAATGAAATCTGAGATAACTAAAGTGTCTTTTTTGGCTTCACTTGTTTTTCTTCAATTATAATAAAACCACATTAAAAATAAACAGAAACAAAAGTTTAGGAGGTACAAAGCTCATCCAAACCACTGGTTCTACCACAGTAAGGCAAGTTCTGTTACAGATTTCTCAGGAGTCCAGTGCTGTAAGCAGACACATTTAAAAGGTATTCTAGGGAATTTGTGATCCTTTTGGAGAAATAAGGTGGTGCACTTAACGTTATACCAATAAATTACGCTATATATTTCAATGCATTTATTGCTTCTAGAATCCTCTTGCTATGACAAAAAGGCAACCAGACCCTCGTGTGTGTTTGCTAATCCTGCTTTAAAGGTTTAAAACCTCAGGTCACAAGGCTTACTTGAAAAGGAGATGTGTGCATTAAGGAAGTGATGCAATCTCTTTAGAGGCAAAGCCGCAGGAAGTAAATAGTGGTTTTGTACATGTAATATTTTCAAGCACACTGAATAGGGTTGTTAGCTAGTTTAAGCATTGGGCTACTTGGAAAATGTTTTCATTCATAATATGCAGTAAATATTTGTCTGGAAAAGGAATTGTTACATTTTGGTATAATTTGGTAATTTTTTGAAGAGGTATTTTTATTAATTTGAGTTCCTTTATAAGGCCATATCTGGTATTGTCATTAAATGAATTTTTCTACGTCATTGCATGGTAAGTACAGCTATTCATGTCAAGTTTTAGTCACGTTCTGCTCTCTGCTCCTTCTAAAACAGAGAAACGATTTACAGAAGGTAAGCTGCAGAACTCAAGTGGCATCTGCTGTAGATCCTATGAACTCAAAAACTAACCACAGCTTTGTGTGTGTTATGGGACTTGAACTAGGAAAGAAATTATGCTGATTTAACAAAAAAAAAAATCTGATCAAGTTAAATTAATTTTCCTTTATGTTGAGCTATTGCATTCTACTTGATGGGAGGCCTCTGCTTTTTTTCTAGCAGCACTTTCAGTGTTCTGTAATTAAGCCCAGGCATTAGAAACATGTTGGCTAAGAGATTTTGCATCAGCAAAACTTAAGATTGTCTCCTAAGCTTGTTGAAACAGAAATTCCCTCTGAATGAAGTACTGCAGATGATTTGTTATTTTTTAGGTATCTGAACTTCAGCTAATGTGGCTAGCTTCTTTACAAGACAAAAAGGAATACTAGGTCCAACAGTTTGAAAATGCAGGTAAGAACTCATAATAAGCACCATCATTCAAACAGTCAGCCAAGTGAAACCACAAGATCTGTCTCTCATATGAGCAGGAAGACTGAGATAGCCATCCAGGTAATTTTGCAATTAAACCAGCCGTTCATCAGTCAGAGGACAATTTCCTGAAGGTAACGTCTAAGTAGACATTTGTCATCTAAGTGATGTCTAAGGCACTAGCGGCACAGCCAGTTCTGTTTTATCGGTTCTCCCTCTTCTTTTATATGAAGACCAGAAAAAAGTACTCTGTGATGGGAACCTTTAAAGACATCCTTAGAGGTAAAATCCTACAGCATGTCCTCAAAGGAATAAACACAGTGGTTCTATGCTGTAGCTAAGGCAGTGAAGTGAGTATACAAGTTAGTCACCAACACACCGTGATCAAAAAGTGCATTTTAACTGAATACTGAGGTATAACTACAGAGAATATAGTAGCAAGGAGAACATTTGTTAGGCGTGCTTGGATTTGGATATATATTTCCTGCATCTCATATTGGTCAAGACAAGACAGTTGTTTTTTTCTCTAGGAAACCTCTCAGGTTTATTTCAAGATATTAGTTATTCTCTTATGAGTGAAGGAGTGATTTGTTTTGTAGAAAATGGCTTCTTTTCCCCCAGATGTTATGATGTGTAGTGATGGCACTCTTACATTGGAATCTGTAACTGGTAAAAAAAGGATGTATGATTCTGAAAGGATCAGTCCTTAACAGTAGAGACGGAAACAGAAGAATCACCTCAGCACAGATTGTACATAATTTTTTCTTTTAATTTGTGGGGATTTTTTGACAACATACTTGTCATGTCTCTTGATTCTGAGCTACTGTTTGTACACAGCCATATGAACAGCCCAGCTCATTTCAGTCTAGCATCAAGATCTCAAAAAAGATGTACATTTATCTATGGATGTAATGTTAAGTCTCGGTTCTTTCACTTTGACCAAAAAAGGCTGGAAGCAAGATAAAAGTCCTAATGACTTTTGTAATATTCTATTTTGATATTATGAATGGTGTTACTTGAGAGTGCCAATCCAGAGCCAAAGAATCTGTTGGGGAAAAATCAAGCTGAACTAGAAAGTAGTAAATTCATTAAGGCTAGCGTAGCAGCAAAGCTTTCACTGTACAACTGATCTTTTTGCACAGTAAAGAAAAATATTTTCCATCTCTTGGGCTGGTGAATTTTGTTTTTGGTATCCCTTGCTCTTGATTGTGCTGTCTTGTTCCTTTTAGGCTGGGTGCAGCCTGAGGGAGACCTCTTAAGATCAAGGGACATTCACAGGCCACTTCTCCTGACCAGTAAGGGGCAGGCGAACATTAAATTTGCATTCTGGTAATGCCACCCAAAACTAAGAGCCCATGTACTGCTTTAGCTCGAGTCTGCCTTTAGATAAAGGATCACATTTTCTTTTCTCCTGCTCTAACCACTGCATAGTTGTCCAGGTGTTAGCAAGTTTGTAAGTACTTTGGAGACACCACATGTTTTTATGAACAATAAGACATTAAATTTAGAAATGCAGTGTGATGAAATCTCAATTTGCATTGACCTCTGACTTTGTCATTCTTAGTGTGTGTCTGTTTACTTCCAAGTTCAGCATGCAGTATGTGTAAATGTGTTAGTAAACAAATTCTCCTCGTGGATACTGAAGAAGGCTGAAGCTCAGGCACTTTTCATCCTACCATGGTACTGGAAATGAAATTATCTGATGATAGATTACTTCTAAGTTTATGAATGTGTATGGGGAAAACTGAAATACGTGTCTTCTATTCACTACCCCTCATCAAGACAGTTTTATTTTAAATACTGAAGAAATAAACTTGTGCCGACCTGGTATGTCCTAAGTATACATTTTTGTCCCATGTTTTCTTTTATAATAAAGTTTGAACAAAATATTTCTTATATCTCAGAAGGGAAATTTATGTTAACCCCTACCGTATTTTCCAGACTACAGAAGTATTTTTTTTTTAAGTAGACACCTAAAGGTGAAATTGTATTTTTAAGTATGTGGACTACAATCCCTTAAATTAAACATCTCTCCTTAGCAATTGTATATACTTAGACAAAAAGCGCATCGGTTGCAGCTGCTTGTCTATCTAGTTGTTTGTGTTGGTGATTTGTTATATTGCTTTCTGTAATTGCTCTAAGGTATTAAGAGCTCCATGTAAATCAGTAATGTTAGAAATAGAAGTCAGAAGTAAATCTCTAGAAGTGATAGATATTTTTTTTTATATCCTGGAGGAGGACCAAGATTAAGCACCTGCTAACCTTTAATTATGTACTATATAACTTCAGTGTTCAGCATTGTGTTGAAAGTATCAGGCATCTGTTCAATGGGACCACTTTCTAAACCTTTTTGTAATTCCCAGCATCTACCCGGGTGTGCAAGACATTTCTAATTTGATTGCAGGTACTAGTTCCTCTTTTCTGAAAGAATAAAATGCAATATCAACAAGCTGAGAAATAATTCATAAAAATTTTTTGATCTCTTGAATTACTGTTAAACTTGCATTGAGGACATAATTTATACATTTTTTAAAAAGTATTGCTATGTTTTTGAACACACTTGAGAATTTAAATGCAAAAGCAAAAAAGTTAACCTTTTAATGATCACAGTTTGGGATTTTCTCTTTCCGCTACTGAATCCAAGTTAGGCACTGCCATGAAGAGGATGCTTTTAGCTGAAAACCTGTGCTGATAGAGCAGGAAGTACAGCTTTGTAGGAACTCGCTCGCAAGGTATGGTGTGCTTGTTCCATCAGTGGTACAACTCCTGGTGACTTCAAGGCTGCTCAAGCAGTTGGTTTAAAGATGCATATTGGCTGCAAGCTTTCTGTTATAGCCCTTGGATATGCAGTGTAAACCTGTAACAATATATAGTGCTACTGGATGATAATAACGACCTGAATGCATTTTTTCTGCTGTATATTTCCCTCCTATGGCTCCTAAGGTATGTGTATATAGACTGTCTTTGCACTGAACTGGCTATACTTTGTAACTGAAAGGCAGGTAGCATACTAAAGATGACTGTAGCTTGTGGTTCCGATTATGGAAATCCTTTCACAGAACGCAAAGTATAGCTTCAGTGCTACAAATTTGATTTTTATATTTTTTATTAACATGCATGGAAGACTACGGATAATATTTTTAAAAGATGAACTTGGTTTTGTACATTTTTCAATGTTTAAAACTATATGATTTAACATTACCTCTGAATACCAGTGATCAGTAAATTCTTAAAGGAAATACCTCAATTTGAGTATTCTTTTCTTGCTAGTTTTTGCTTGATAGGTTGAAATGGACTACAGTGTGTGATGAACTAACTGAGCCAAATAGCAATGACGTAAAAGCTTCAACTCTGCTGTAAGCTGTGTGATTTACTGAAAGGGAACTAAATGATACACTACAAGTGTTGATGTTGCAGTATACAATCACGGCTCGTTCTGCCCAACTGGACATTTTCTTTATGACTGGCTTGTAAATTGAATTTTCAGCGTGAAGCCAAATTAAAAATGAGAGAAAAAATGTTACTGTTTCCTTTGGATTTTGTTCTTAGACATTATCTTGATAAGCAAAAATATTTGGATATTTCCAAGGTAAAGGATACAATCGTAATTGTGAATAAAACCAAGTCCCATACGTGTTTAGATGTGCTTTATTGATGTATGTCCTCTGTTGGCCACACGTATGCAGGAGACCAGCATTTACCTGACAAGTGGGAGTATGAAATACAGAAATGCAGGCTTTGATGGTTGTTTTTGTTTGTTTGTTTGGGGGAAAGGTTGTGGGGAGGGGTCTCTTTTTTACCTTTGGATGATGGGTATATGGAATCCAATTCTATCTATCATCTGTGCCTAAAGAAGAGTGTTGGAAGATCAAAAGAGATTCAGAAAAGGGGTTCTGGAGGCCTGGAGAACAAGACTATCTAAACTATACTGCAGTAGTTCAGGCTACTTCGTTATCCAGGAAACAGGAAAGAGGTGAGGTGACACTGCAGTTACTACACACGTGAGAAATGCATAACAGAAGGTGGGAAAAATGTGTATTTAGGTCCAGTGGATATAAGCTGAACTAAACCTATGAAAGTTTTTGAGAAGGAGTGAAAGGTGGTGAAGTTTACCAATGACACATTCTTAATGACGTGAAGAGTTCAAGTGAAGACCTGTTAATGCTTTTCTTAAAATTAGTCACTAATTTGAATTTAGGGTGCACATGCAGGTTTTGAGTAATGTTCTCTGAGTTAGTCATGCTGTGGTTTGCATGAAGAAAACAGTGTGGAGGACAGTGAACGCATACATTGTCAACCTGTTTAAGGAAAAAACACTGATAATCATTTTTCAAAAGCAAAATTTGATTTCTTCTTTCAGTGACGTCCAACAGACATGCACATTTCATTATGAAGAACTGTTTTAAAACTCAAACCATTTTTGCTTCAAGGTATTTTTTTTTTTTAATTTTCCTTGCTTCAAGGTATTTTTTTCATTTTCCTTCACACACTTTTTGCTTCAATCTATTTTTCCTTCTGCTCCAATATGCAAATAACACACTCGTTTTATTCTTGTGTGAGTACATTACATTAATAGTGCTTTGATTTTATACTTGAGGGTGTAGATTATATTAATAACGCTTTGGTTTCATACTTGTGGGTGTAGGTTATATTAGCAGTGCTTTCATTTTATACTCGTGGGTGTCGATTATATTAATAGTGCTTTGGTTTTATACGGGTAGGAGTAGTTTATATTAACAGACCTTTGGTTTTTATACTTGATTATAGATCATATATATAGATAATACTATAAAAGGAAAAGAGGGCAGGCAGGACAGCCCTGCTCCGGCTATCCCCTGGGATATCTCCACTGTTTCCTTTAAGATTTCCGTATGTTGTCAGCTGAACCTTACAGAACCCATAAGGAAACCCCGAAGGAAACAGGGAGGCGGGGGGGCGGCGTTGTTTTATTTTTACAACAATCCCCAAAGTAAGAGGGGGGGGGGCGGGGACACATAGAAGGCCGCAGCGCCGCACCGGTTGCTAGGCAACGCCGCGCCGCCACTTCCGCCTTCCTCCCCTTCCCGGAAGTGACGGGCAGGAGGCAACGGCTTCCTTCCCCGGCGACGGGGAGGGGGGATGCGGCGGCGGGGCGGTTGGCGTTGCCGTTACCGTTGCCGTTACCGTTGGCGGGGGGGCGGCGGGCGGGCGCCATGCTGAGCCGCAGCTCGCTGAGCGGGCTGGCGGTGGGGCTGTTCGCCCTGTACGTGGCGCACACGGGCTGGGTGATGTACGGCATCGTCTACACGCGGCCCTGCCCGGCCGCGGGGGCCGCTGCCGCGCACCCCGCCTGCGTCTGGCCCTACCTGGCGCGGCGGCCCAAGCTGCAGGTGGGCTCCGAGCCTGGGAACGGTCCGTGACGGTAACGGAGTTGGGGGGGGTGAGGAGGAGGCAGCGGGGCGTTTTCGCCCTTCATTGAGCCCCCCGGTGCCCTGCCCAGCCTGCGGGGCTGCGTCGCGAAGCCCTGAGCTCTCCTCGCTGATGTGCCGGTGCTGTGTGTGCCCCTGCCCTCAGTGCCCTCTCCTCCTCCTCCCTTCCAGCTCAGCGTCTACACGACCACGCGGTCCAACATCGGCGCCGAGAGCAACGTGGATCTGGTGTTGAACGTGGAGGATTTTGATGTCGAGTCCAAATTCGAAAGGTCAGTGGCAACGTTAGTTTTTTATTTCCATTCACATCAAGTGCATAAGCTGATAGTCACAGTGGGCAGAAATACACATAAAGCAGGTAGATCTACTCTTGGTGACAGTATCGTTGAAGGAGCTGGGTTGTTGTCCTTGCATTCTTTGGTTCAGGGTTGAAGCTATTCCTGCACGCTCCGTGGGCCATGCAGCTTGTGCGTGTTTTCCATATTCTCAGTGCCAAGGCAGGAAAGCTGTCAGGTGGACTTCAGCCTTATAGCCAAGGACAAAGTGCTACTGTAGATAAAAACCAGTTGTTTGTTTGCTTGTTTTAATGAAAGGTTCCTAGAATATTTCATGTATCACAGATCAGTGAAGCGCCCGCCTTGACAGAAACAGTGCAGCTACATTTGTGGGGTGCCAAAGAGCAGGCTCTTTGACAAACCATTACACAAGCTTCTCTTATACTGAGTGATCAACTCTCGGTTGCAAGAAAGAAATCCATGCCCAACAAAGTCATGCTAATAAATACAGAAATGTTTGTTTCTCTCACATAGATCTTACAGACCGTGAATGCTGTTGTCTAACTTTCAGATCCCACTCTAAACACTTGTATCACAAGCTGTGCTAGATCACTTCAGCGTTGGTTGGTTTAAATCAACATACTGTTTTAAGTCGTATAAACAAACATTTTACAGAAGCGTGCTTTGCTTGTGATAGTCAAAGTGGCTTTCCCTTGTGAAAATGTAAGTGAATGTGTCCGGAAAATCCTTAAGACCTTTCTCTAATAACCTGCAGCCAGAATAGCTGTGTCTTCAGACCCTGAGAAGAACCTAGAAGTCATAGATACTGTGTTCTCTCTTCTTGTGTTGTAACAGTGTGCTTTGGTATAACTGTTTCAGTGCTGACAATTGTAAAAGTAAACCTTTTCTGGTGGTTTACTGTTTCAAGATCTTCTGAAGGGATGGTGGTGCTAAGATCATGCCTTTAGATGAATTTCTGAATATAAGCTGCAATCTTTAATTATAAAGAGACACATACACGTATAACAGTTAGAACAACTTTTGTATTAGCTGCTTCATTATTTTTTTTTTGTTTAAAGTTGTTATCTCGTATCTGAGGTCAGAGGCTTACCCTGGTTCTTTCACATTCTGCACGTTTCATAATTAAAGAACATGAACTTCCGCAGTGTAGGTCATGGTGAACTTGATCTCTGGCAGACAGTGAAAATAGAACTGTTTTACTGACGGCCTGCTGGGCCAGTGAGAGTATCCAGACAAAAAACATCTGAGCAAATTAACGGGGCGCTTCCCAGGCAGGCACAAGAGGAGTGACTTTGTGGTTGGAAGCTCTGTAGAGCTGTGTGCTCAGCATGCCGTAGCTGAGAAGATCCATCCTTAATGTAAAATGCTTGGCTTAACTGAATTTCCTTCTAATCTTTCTATCGTGTATACACTCTATCAATATACTCAGTGTGCGGGAGGTTATTTTCTATGAGTTCTGTGATAATTTGGCAGTAGGACCTGTTGGCTGGGTTACAAAACTGATAACTCAGTCTTGTGTTATTTAGGACAATAAAGGATGAATTGGACAAAGATGAAAGTGTCTTAAGATAGCAGTAAAACTTTGGTAATGCAAATACTAAGTTACAAACAAAGGTACATAAATTGAGGCACCCAGTCATGGCTTATTAGAGAACATTAGCTCCAGCATGTTCTTGCTTGCTTTTAGAACATCTTAACATCTTCAGTGATCCTCATCTGTAACAGCTTGATATTCCAACATATGTCACCTCGTAACAAACTTATTTTGTGTTTTAGGACAGTGAATGTCTCTGTACCAAAGAAGACTCGAAATAACGGCACGTTATATGCATATATATTTCTTCATCATGCCGGCGTTTTGCCTTGGCACGATGGTAAGCAGGTGCATATAGTAAGCCCTCTGACCACCTACATGGTCCCTAAACCAGAAGAGATTAATTTGCTCACAGGAGAATCAACCACGCAGGTAGGTGGGTTTTCCATCTGTAGAAAAATTGGGGGAAAAAAGTATGGGGAGGAAGGGAAAAACCAAAATGCCTTTCTGCTTGATTATCAGCTGGTACACTAATAGTAGACCTTTCAGCACAGCAAATGGGGAGCCCTCTGTAATAGTGGCTCCTATTAAAACACTTCCCTAGTTAATGTGAATTACTTATTCAAGGTTTCATTGCTCGTGGTAGAAATACTGTATTGTTTTGTAACAAAATGATGCTGCTTTCTATGAGTTAGATTCGTGTGAAATAATGCTTTGCTTTTGTAAAACAGAGATACTAACTCACATCAGTGAGTGACCATAGCGTAGATTGCTTCTTTTCTGTAGGACATTCCTACTTTCCAGCTCAATTCAAGAGAACACGATAGTAGTATCCTTTGACAAATTCTGTAATAACTCACTAGAGGAAAAAATGCGGTGTTATTTAATGAAACGCTTGCAATGGCTCTTGTATTTCACTGTCAAGGGGAGGTAGAGAATTTCACCTTGCTCTTCTTCGGAATCTGAAATACACTTGTAACTATCAGTACTGTTTCTAAATCCTGTTAGAATAAAGTTGAAAATGAGCTGAAGCTAGAGTCCAGCATTAAAAGGTCAGAGCAGGTGGTGGTCAGCCAAGGAGAAGTGATCAGAATGCCCAGGGGCTGAGCATCTACTGAAAGCTGCGGTCTTAACTCTGTTTCAGCACTGCTTTGCACAGCGTTTGGAGGCTCAGAAATTCAAAACAAATGGTCAGATCTTTTTTACTCCCCCAGATTAAGTATGGTCAATCATCCTTTTGACTGTGTTGAAGTAATATCTGAATGCTCTACTGTTCTTGT